AAAGCTAGGTCCTATAGAGCAAGTCTGCTACTAGCATGTAAAATGACTCTTTCCATGACTCACAATTCTGGGAAGGGGGGTGGCTCTGGGTTAGGAATGAAATCAATAATTCCAGATCTACATTGTTGGTAGATATGTTGTGTTCAGTATGAAAATGGATTGGCAGCAGTGGGCAGTATAGATAGACTTCATTGTTTATTAGACTATGACTTTTTACTAATGAACATCTGTATGAATGCCCATGTGGTTCAGTTTTCAACTAAATTAATCTCCAGTTTGTGAACAGTCTGTGAATAGTCACTTTATGAGTTATATCATGCTTTAGTTTTTTAAGAGGGGACTCAAAAAGCTAGGATATTAGTACTAGCACAGGATTCAGCAAAATGAAAGAATGTTCTCCAGGAGAATTTGGCTAGGTTCATGAACATGGCTTAGAGTTCTGCCCACAAGACAAAGCAGCAACATTTATTTTTCTGTTGTGTCTCACCTGTACCAAGGTTGAACAGTATGGAAGCCTGTTGGACACCTGTTGGCTTTGAGTCTTTGAATCATCACTGAGGCAGGCCCAGGCACTTAGGGAGCCACTGAACCAACAGCTGCATCGGGCCAGCAGAACAGGCAGAGCAGCCCGGCTCTCATTGGACATGACTTAGGACAGAGCCTGGCTACATTATATCTCTCTGTTCCCCTCAGAATCCAAGGCCAACAAGTACTCTACCACTGAACTGTCTTTCTGCCCTTAGCTGCATTCTTAAATATGCCATTTCCTTGTGATGAGAAGGTCATTGGCCTCTTTCCAGTTTTGTTTGTTATTGGATTTCAATAGACATTCTAAATTCGGATCTTTTCAAAATAGGAATATTTAGTAGTTGTGTCAGGGAGACATCGAATCAAATTAGAGGCCTCTGCAGTGGAGGTTCCTCTTAACCAGGAGCATTGATGAGTGATGTCTATGCACAGAGGGACTTGTACTGAAAGGGGTCATAAAATATAAAATGATAAAGCCACTAGTGTATTTCTTTACGCACTGTGTTTAGTGGCCATAATCTCTTGAATTTATGAACGTTCACAGTATAGGCATGTATAATATGGACAACAATTGTGGGAACTCAGCAGTGAAGGCTACAGTGGCAGTACATTAAATGGCTTCCAAAGGCTCAATCAAGAAAGAAAGCTCATTAGCTTCCCTTCTCCTCTGAGAACTCCACTCAGAGCAATTCACTCCAAAGAACTCCACTCAAATCTATCCCCAAGAAGAAGTTGCTTTTCTTTATATAACAGTGCCTTGTGGATTTGGATTGGCCCCCTAAAATGATTTATATCTGTTTGAAGTGACATATCTATTTTTCTCTTTAAAGTGGCTGAGGGAGAGTTAGTTACTGAGGGTGGTAGAGTTTGTAGTATGAGGATGATATTGGGAGAGAACAGCTTTGCACCAGTTCGATTTTGAGTGGTTGGTAACTTCATGCTGATTAATGGAAGCTGTTATTTTTTGGTCCACCCCAAGTCCCATATACTGTGGAAAGAAACAAGTCAACCTATAGTCATACTACTTTTTGGCAGAGGCAGTAAGGTTTTGCACCCTTTCATTAACTTGGGTTCAACCTATATACAGTAATCATTTTTAAAAGTCTTATCTTACTGTTGATTATTGCTCATGGACAAGATGGCATTTTAAAAATTCTCAATGAAAACCAAACATGGTTCTGTGATATTTTGTTTATAATCTAACAAATAAAGCTTGCCTGAAGATCAGAGTGCAAAACTAGCCACACTAGTTAGCCATAGAAGCCAGGCAGTGGTAGTACACACCTCCAATCCCAGCACTCAGGAGACAGAGGCAGACAGATGTATGTCAGTTCAAGGCCACACTGGATTTCTCGAAATTGATCCAGTCTAAAAGAGAAACAGAACTCACACAGAGGTGATCCCAGCACTTGGAATGATAAATCTTTAATCCCAGCACTAAGGAGATGGAGACAGGAGTGATATGGCTGGTCAGAGACAGGAATATAAGGTGGGAAGACATGAGAGAGATGCAGTGTGAGGAACAGTGCAGTCAAAGCAGTCTAAGGATACAGTCTGAGGACAGGGTCACCCCTTTGGTCTGAGCATTGGTAGAGGTAAGAACTCTAGTGGCTGGCTGATTTGCTTCTCTGATCTTCGGCATTAACCCCAATATCTGACTCTGAGTTTTTATGATTAAGACCTATTAGAATTCATGCATCACATGGTGGCTGATATTTAGAATCCTGGCTATTGGGAGGTCAAGGAAGGATTGCCTTAAGTTTCAGGCTAGTATGGGCTGATTATAGTACCCTGCCTTTAAACACAGATTAGAAAATTTCTTTTTAGTAGAAGAGTTAGAACCGACAGTAAGAATTTTCTAGATTCTTTGATCTAATTTCTTAGGTTCCAGTTACCTTCAGCAACATTTTGGTATCTATCTGTAATAATAAAAGTCCAGCCGGGCGTTGGTAGCGCACACCTTTAATCCCAGCACTCGAGAGGCAGAGGCAGGCGGATCTCTGTGAGTTCGAGGCCAGCCTGGTCTACAGAGCCAGTTCCAGGACAGCCTCCAAAGCCACAGAGAAACCCTGTCTCGAAAAACCAAAAAAAAAAAAAAAAAAAAAAAAAGTCCATAGACTGCCACTATGCAGAGGGGTTATGTCAGGAAGTTTATTCTAGTGGGAATTCTCACAGGAGGCGAGCCTTCTATGAAAATATGCGTGAGGTGCTTTAAGGATTGGATGCTAACAGGGTAACTACGGATTGTCTCAGCACTATGCTGCCGCTGTTCCTCCTCCTTCTTTCTTCTTCTATTAATTTTTATGTGTATGGGTGTTTTGCCTGCATGTATGTCTGGACCTTGGGTGTGTCTCATGCCTTAGGAGGCCAGAAGATGACATTCAGTCTCCTGGAACTGACAGGAGTTTACAGACAGTTGTGAACTTCAATGTGAGTGTGGGAATTGAACCTGAGTCCTTCAGAATAATAGCTAGTGCTCATAACTGCTAAGTCATTTCTCTAGCCTTTCCCCCTCCCTTTAAAAATTATGTGCATGATTCTTCTGTCTTCATGTGTCATGTGTATGCCTAGAGTCCATGAAGGCCACAAGAAGGCATCAGATCCCTTGGAACTGAAGTTATTAGGTGGTTGTAAGCAGCCATGTGAGTGCTGGGAATGGAACCTCTGCAAGAGCAATAGGTTTTCTTGACTGCTGAGATATCTCCAGCCCAATTGTTACTATTCTTTAACAAGCATTCCTTTCCTTACCTTTCCTGTCACCTTCCTGTCACCTTAAGCAAATTAGCCAAAGATTTGCCTGATTCTAACAACTAGGTACAAACTTTCCAAAATCCTTTATATTCAGTTTCTGTTACCTGAAAATATGTAGAACCTTCCTGCTCCCCTTCCACCAGATAAATCTCAATTCTAGCTGTTCATGGGGCAGACCTTTTGAGGCTATTGGTGTCATGCACGTTTTACCACCTGGCAGAGAATTGACAATACTAGGAAATTATTGAGGCTTTTGTTTTTGAATCTACCTCCTCCCAGATACTCATCTTGAAACGGTCTTTTAATTTAGCTTCATTAATAAATGATAAAATGGAGGATTATTAGCAGTTCTCATGGCATCCTTTTTAATACCTGTTATCGGTTTCTTCCATTCCCAGCTGCTAGCTCTGTCTTTGCCAGTGGTTTTCATTCTTACTACCCAAACTCAAAATTTGAAGGATCAGAGATTTTATTCTTGTAAGGTAATAGATTAATTTAACACTATTTCATGGATTCTGTCGGAAGATAAAAGACTCTAGGTCAAAGAACACATCACTCATGGCAACTACAAGAGTCATTGTATTGGGCTGGGTATGGTTGCCCATACCTTTAATCCCAGCACTGCAAGGCAGCAGGTGGATCTCTGAGTTTGAGGTCAACCTGGTCTGCATAGCAAGCTCCAGGCTCAGCAGGGCTACATAGTAAGACAGTATCTCAAATAAAAAACCAGATTGTAGCCAGGCGGTGGTGGCGCACGCTTTTAATCCCAGCACTCAGGGAGGCAGAGGCAGGTGGATCTCTGTGAGTTCGAGGCCGGGCTGGACCGATAGCCTCTGAAACAATACAGAGAAACCCTGTCTCGTAAAAACCAAAAAAAAAAAAAAAAAAAAGATTGTGCTACCCATTTAGTCATCATTTCCTTTTCGGTGCTAGGAATCAAACCCAGAGACTTGTCTATGCTGGCAACCACTGAGCCCTTCTCAGCCTGCTATCCAGTTTGTGAATTTTGGTGACTAAATGAAAATTTTAAATGTATTTTTATTTGCTGAGGTGGAACTCAGGAACTTGTACATGGTGGCAAGTAAGTTATATCCTTAGCTCCTCCAAAAATGTTTTATTTTAAAAACAGTTTCATAGGTTCCTACTAGGCAGACTGAACCAGACAGGTAGGAGGCTTGCTGATAACTATAATCTTTGCCCTTACAGTATTTTTTTCCTTTCACGTTGTTTGCCATATGCAGTTTTCCTGCCTTCAATAATTCCCTGTTTGCCTCTTGTACTTCTCTCCTTTAAAGCCTGCTAACCTGTGAAGCCTTTAAGTGAAGCCTTTTCAACTTGCTTGCTCCACACACACTTAACAGTAGTTCACATATGTGTGTGTGTCAGAACAGCGCTTACCATAACGCTGTGTTCACTGATTTGTTGTTGTTGTTGTAGCTGTTAGTAAAGTAAAAGTGACCAGGCAGATCTCCTCTCTCCTTCCATACATTCTAGGTTTCTAAGAGACAATTTTCCTCCAGCAGTTAGTTGCTTTAGAAAATCTAGTAAGTATTTCCTGATTTGAGCCTGAGGGAAATTAATTTACCTAATTTTGAAGGAAGACATACTAGAAAATAGGTACGAGGTACACTTCCATGGTCCAATACATAAGGACAGCACCCACATACATTATCTACTATACCAAATAATGTTTTCTTACTCTATTTAAATTTAAAATATAGACTGTGGATATTCATAAAGAAAAAGTGGCTCGAAGAGAGATTGGTATTTTGACAACAAATAAGAATACATCAAGAACTCACAAAATAATAGCACCTGCAAATATGGAGCGCCCTGTCAGGTATATTCGGAAACCTATCGACTACACAGTTCTGGATGATGTGGGCCATGGAGTTAAGGTAAGCATTTTGTATTGCATAAGTGTGAATTATTCTGAATTTTCAATAAATATTTTGGATAGAAATTGTGATAGGATTTTCTTATTCGTTAGATTCCCTTTAGTTAGCAGTTAGTATTATAATTTTATAGAGTAGTTATTTATTTTAGAGATATAAGTGCATGAATGCTTTGCCTGTATATGTATATGTGTACTCCCTGCATGTCTGGTACCTTTGGGGTCAGATGAGGGCATTGGATCCTCTAAATTTCCTGGAAATAGTTATGGTTAGCTGTGAGCCACCATGTGGATGCTAGGAAGTGAAACTGGGTTCTCTGCAACAAGTGCTCTTAACGGCTGAGCCGTTAGTGTTTGACTAAGCCTGGAGTAGAATTTTATCCACAGAATAGGCACTATTCAGAAAAACTTAAAAACTTAACAAAGCTGGACTGCTAAGATGGCTTAGCCCTGAGTTCTATTAAACCCTTTATGGTGGAAGAGGAAAACTGACTCCCAGAAATCTTCCCTTGCTGTCCTCCATACATAATGCTGTGTTACTTCTACCATAAACAACAACAACAACAAAAACCCAAACACAACGTGAAAGCCATTCTTTAAATCATAGATTATGATTGGGTTAGAAAATAAATTGTAAATAATTTGACCTTGTATTCCAAAATGTTTCTATACCTATGTGGTTTTTCTTTTTCTTTTTCTTTTTTTTGGGAGGGGGTTCAAGACAGGGTTTCTCTGTGTAGCTTTGGAGCCTATCCTGGCACTCACTCTGTAGACCAAGCTGACCTGGATCTCACAGAGATTCGCCTGCCTCTGCCTCCTGATTGCTGGGATTAAAGGCGTGTGCCATCAACACCTGACTGTGGTTGTCTTTCTAACCACTAAAAAATGCAAACATTAAAACACGTTTTTAAAAAGTGCTTATTATGGTAAGATACATATTATCTCCATTTTATACTAATCATTTTAAGTATATACTTCTGAAATATAATCACGTTACTTTGGTAGCTAAATGTTTTAGACCAAGACTTAGAAGAGTGGGTGGCCAGTATATTTAGACACTGGCATGTGTTGTTAGTGTGCTTGCCTAGCATCAACACAACCCTGGATTTGATACCCAGTAGCACAGTGGTGGTACAGGATTACAGTCCTCAGCACTTGAATAGTGAGGCAGGAGCAGTAGAAATTAGAAGCTCAAAATCATCCTTGCTTACATAGTGAGTTTGAGGTTAGTCTGATGTATATAAAACCAACATGAAGCTGATAGATGTCACATTTATCTGTATAAAGTCAAACTATACACACACACAAATATGGTCTTATTGCTATATTTTCTTGGTTTTATGACTTCTGTAAGAGCTTTTATACTCTTTTTTTTAAAAACAGGATTATAGAGTTACGTGAAATTTAGAAATAGTACCAGAGTTGGGTGTGGCAGGAACATCTTTGAGTTCAGGGCTAGCCTGCTCTAGTGAGTGAGTTTCAGGGATCCAGGGTTATGTAGTGAGGCCCTGTCTCAGAAGAAGTGCTAGGAGGAAGAAGGAATAGGACAGCCACAAGCTTGAAGGCCAGCCTGGTCTGTAGTGTGTTCTGTGTCACCTGGACCACGCAGTGAGACTGTCTCAAACAAACAAAAACCCTGACTAACCAGTCACCCTGCTGCTTAAAAAAATTCAAAGATATTTGGGCATTCATTAATGATAAAGTATGCACAGTCTGAAATTGTGAGGTAGAAAGAATTAAATTTATTTTAAAATGAGCATCCTAAGTATAGACTGCTAGCTCCTGAAATAATAATAATAGTAATAATAGTAGTATCTGAAGAGAAATATGAATCAAAGACAAATAATATTTCTCTTCTGAAATTTTCTTTTTTAATTAAAATTTTCTTCATATAATGTATTTTGATTGTAATTTTTTCCTAACCTCAGTTCTTCCCAGATACAGTTTGAGTCCTCTTTTTCTTTTAAATATTTATTTTTATTTCATTTGCATTGGTGTTTTGCTTGCATGTATGTTTGTATGAGGGCATTGGATACCCTGGAACTAGAGTTACAGACAGTTGTGAGCTGCCCTGTGGGTGCTGGGAATTGAACCTGGGTCCTCTGGAAGAGCAGTCAGTGCTCTTAACCACTGAGTCATCTCTCCAGCTCCTATATTTTATTAATGAGTTGTTAAGCTTATGTGCTCTGTCAAGGAAAATGACATTTGATATTGTTTCTTAATGGTGCTTTTGTCATTTAACTTCCTGCTTGGATATTTTTCAAAATACATAATTTTAAGTACCGTTTCGAAATAGATTGATATTCTTCTTGTAGCTACTACATTTTATATCCAAGGTTTTCATACTCTTGAGATTAATATTCCATCTTATTTGTGATACAAATGTTAGTGTTTTGGAATTTGTGTATGCTATACTTGGGCTTCTTTTAAATAGATTTTGCATATATAAATAGCATTTATTGTATTACATTTCGTTCTGAAAAGTATATGGTATCTATAGTTTTATTATGACTTTAAAATAACAACTAAAGTCAGTTTGGGAAACAGAGTGAGATACTGATAGGAGAAAATCAGAGTGCAGAACCTCCAGAGTATGTACATGAGAACAATAAAAGATGATGATTTTGTAAGCAGGCACTGCATTTCCAAGTGAGCATAGGGGAGAAAGGCTTGAGCATTTAGCAGAGACATTTAGAATTCTTGTTGGTAAGCATAACAATGAACAGATTTCTAAATTAGTTTGTAACTTACAGAAGAATGTCTGTTGTATATATTTAGTGTCTATGTGGAGATGGCGATCATAGGGGAAGATCAAGGAAGCAAAACAAAGCCATTTTATTGATTTTAATTGATTATAATTAGTTGGTGTTTTCTGAGGTAACGTCTCTAAGGTTAACTGTGGCTTTCTGGTCAGTTTTGGAGTTGAATTTTAGTTAGCTTTGTAGGAATCCAGAACATCAGGGCTGTCTCAGCTATAATTGTCTCTCAAGTTTTGTTCTTTTAATTATTTTTCAGATTTTTTTTAAAGATTTATTTATTTATTACATACACACCAGATTGAATTGTAGATGGTTGTGAGCCACCATGTGGTTGCTGGGAATTGAACTCAAGACCTCTGGAAGAACAGTCAGTGCTCTTAACCTCTGAGCCATCTCTCCAGCCCCCAGATTTATTTTTATGCTTGAGTGTTTTGCCTTTATATGTGTACCATGTGTGTGCCACATATGTGTACTGCTTGTGCAACTGTGTTTGTGCACTGTGTACCACATGTGTGTGTGTGCAAGTGTTTGGTCTCTCTGGAGAGAGAAGAGGACAGAGAGACAGTCAGTTGTGAACCACTATGAATGTGTGTGATGGGAACTAAACTCTAGGCCTCTGCAAGGGCAATAAGAGCTCTTAACGGCTGAACTATCTCTGGCCCACCTCTTCTGATTTTATTCTTTTTAAAAGTATAGACACTAACCTGTTATAGCATCTATGTAGGGGTGAGGCTTTTAAACATTTTCAATTTTATTAAAATGAGTGAGAGCTAATCAGTTACTTCAAAGAAAGAATTGGTTTCATTGTCACTTGACAATTAGAAAAATAGTGTGCTCAAAGAAAATTCTATTGCTTTTAACTTCATATTACAGGTAAATGGTGAAATTATTCATGGATAAATTTAAATGTTTGGAGAAAGAGAGATCTTAAAGAAAATCAAGTCTTATTTTGTTTAAGTTTGGTTTGAGAACATTTAAGTAGACATTTCATATACAGTATTATCAGTTGCAAGCAGTTGTATTTTGAGCTTTAAGAGCTAGAGATTAATTTTTACAACATTCCTCATTTGGAATACATTCACATACATAAACTTTAATAGAAGAAGCTGAGCTTGAACAAAGATTGAAAGTTACACAATTGTTTAGTTGCAGGGTTATATTCAAGACCCATTTAATTTTATTGTTCCTTCATTTGGGAACAGAGTACATATAAATGCCGAGCTTTTTTGTTTTTGTCTTTATTCTTCAAGTTGAAAGGAATGAAAATGTGAGAGTGTACTTAGAATACTTTTTTGCACAATTATATAGAATGAGACATGCTATACACGTACATATATATATACATGGCACATAATGTAGTCATATGTATATATATATATATCTTATCAAGGGTTTTAGTTAAGTGTAATATTTCACATCTAGGTATTTGATAGTGTGATTAGGTAGGGCTCCAGACAGTGTTCTCAGGTGGCAGTGAGAAATACCTTTTAAACAACAAGGAATACCAAAGTTCTAGCACAGTTTATATAAATAGGAAGATATCAGAATTCTTCCATAAGATTTTATTTAATGATGCCTTTGAGGTAATCTTAAAAAATGGTAGATACTTTTTAGAACAGCAGATGTTATTGATAGAAATTGAACTCTCAAAACTTCATAGATAAACTATAGAAACAGATTTTTTTCTGAATGACACGGTGTAAGGATTAGCACAATAGAGTAGTGTACATTGTTTCAGGTGTGTTAGCTGGTCATCTCTCACAGAAATGACCTTTATTATCAAAGTAGCTTTTCTTTAATTTAGAATTTTGACTGAACCGTTCAGTAACAACATCAACATGTAGCTTCCTAATCGTGTGGGCTTGCTCAAGACTTACATAGCCTAGAAATGAGTTTCCGGTCTATTTATTCTTCAGTTAGATTTAGGTCAAGCTACCAGTAGATGATTTCATTTCTGAATTTTTGTTTTTAAGCGTTGTTTGTTTTCTTTGTCAGTTTTATAAACACACACATATATCTTATTCATAACACACCACCCATATTTTTGTTTTTGAGGTAGGGTTTCTTGTATACCAAACTGGCCTCAAACTCACTGTGTAGCTGCACCAGCCTCCCAAATTCTGGGTTTTCAGAAGTATACCACTGTACCTGGGCTGTGCTGCTGAGAGTGAAACCCAGTGTTGCTGGCGCTGCACACAACTCTGCCTCCTGAGCTATATCCCCAGGCTTTAGTCAGGACTTCATGATTTCATTTTAAACACTGAGGTGTGCTAGATCACATCCTTTTCTGAATTTGAAAACAACTCGAGAGTTTTTATTTTATTTTGATTCAGCGTCTTACTATATAGCTCTGTTTGGCTTGGAACTCCCTCCATAGACCAGGCTGGCTTTGAATGCAGAGATCCACATGTCTTGCCTCCCAAGAGCTGGGATTAAAGGCACCATACCCAACTCCACCTCAAACCCTCTTCAAATGCAGTATGCACTAATATCTATCTGAGCAATGTGTAAACATATGTTCATTACTTATCTACTTTAAGTGGCATTAAGGATTTAGAGACTCCCATGTATTCAACTACTTTTGAGCTAGCTATACCCAGCCTTAAACTGCAATTTCAAGTTTTAGTATTTAAGGTTTATATTTTTATAGCATTATGCACCACTCAAATAATGATTTGGGCATTTATTATCCAATAAAGTCTTAGATCTTGTATACTGATAATTAAAAATAGATTTAAACTTTCTGTATCATTGTAGTTTAAGTCAAATTTAAAACATTTTTATTTTTAATTCTGTGTATATGTGTGTATAGTGGTGTGTGTGCATATGAATGTGGGACAGAAGAGGATATTTGATCCTTTGTCACTGGAATTACAGGTGGTCATGCAGTGTCTCATGTGGGTGCTAGATACTGTCACCTACAGAAGCCATTACATTTCCTGCTGAGACGCCATTCCAGCTCCCTGTCATCTATAATTCAGTTGGATTAGATGCAGGGTTTAAATGCTGACCTAAGAAATTTTGAGACCTATTTGAGATTGTCTTAATTAGTTGGTAGTTTTCTTAGAAAGTTACAGAGGCAGGCGGATCTCTGTGAGTTCGAGGCTGGGCTGAACCGACAGCCTCCAAAACAAAACAGAGAAACCCTGTCTCGTAAAACCAAAAAAAAAAAAAAAAAAAAAGAGAAAGTTACTTCTTTTTAAAAGTACATGTTAGACCTGGTGACAAAAACCTGCAATCCCAGCTACCTGGAAGGCTGAAGCAAGAGATCATAAACTCAAGTTTTGCCTGGGTCACAAAGTCAGTTCATGGCCAGTCTGGGAAACTTAGTGGCTGGATGTTGCTCATTGGAGTGTTTTACTAATATGTGCAGCCCTGAGTTCAATTCCCTGTGCTGCTGGAAAATAAGTGTAACACACAAACATTTCCCTAGTTCCTATAGATACTTTTGCAGTGTATTTGAAATATGGTTGGATAACACTTGTTAGCATAAATTCAGTAATATAAATGTCAACCTGTCCTGCCAGATGCAACTTACCTAGAATTAATTTCTACTTTTTCCCCTCTTTTTTGTTTTTGCCAACATAAAGTGGCTAAAAGCCAAGGTAAGAGAATTACTTATCATTTTTTGATCCACAGTACTTCCTCTATGTTGACAGAGGCTGCAGAGTCACTAAAATGTGAAAACTCTTATGTCTGTCTGCTTTTTCCTGTAGGATTTACCTAGATTAAATATGCTCAAATTTAGTCAAAACAGCATTTAGCTTGGCTGTGTTAATATATCCAAGATATATTGACGTTTGCACTTTAGGAACATTAATCTTGCTAACAGTTACTGCTTGCTCGTGTTCATGCAGTTGCTTTGCTTCCATTGACTTAGAGTTAGGTTTCCCAGACGTCGTATGTGATTTTGCTACTGAATTATTAGGATTAAGATTATACTTGAGATGAGTATTTTAGCAGAGTTACAGCTTTATGATTTACATTTATGCACATATATATGTTTATTCAAGCATTTTAATAATTCTGATTCTTGAATACAGATAAGATTGGTATCAGTGAATACATCTAACAAAATATAAAACCTAGTAGTCTCACCTGTATTTTGTATAAATTGCTATGAATAGCCCAAAATGATAGAAGAACTGAATGCCGGTGGCTTTTGAACTTTTAAAATATAATGCCAAACTGTATTATTACTGTCTGGGAATCCTTACTTTACATTCTGATATTAAGGAAAAGACATCATGTTAAAACATCAAGAGAACAAGTTGATACAAAAATAAAATCTTTCTTTCCATGTTTTAGCACGGAAATAACCAGCCTGCAAGAACTGGCACATTGTCGAGAACAAATCCTCCCACGCAGAAACCACCAAGCCCTCCTGTGTCAGGCCGAGGGACTTTGGGGTATGAATTCAAGTGCATTATACAAAGAATTCCTGAGACCTAAGTGCATGCTTCGTTGTTTAATGTTTTCTCTTGTGATACTACCCATTACATTCATTTATTTTGTGAGTGTGTGTATATGTATGTATGTGGGGAGGTCAGAGAGCTACTTGTGAGGCCCTTGGGTCCCATGATGACGCTCTGGGTGTCAACTTGGCAGGGTACCGGCACCTTTTGAGCCATCTTGTTAGCTCAGACTGATGTTGATTTCTTCCTTCCCTAAACAGAATCCAAAACGAATCTGTCTACTTTACAACCCCCCCCCTCCTCTGTGTGTGTGTGTTTAATGTATGCATAGGTGTACGTGTGTGTGGAGCCCAGAGGACAGCCTCATGTTTTACCCTCAGGAAAGCTGCCCACTTACTAGGATCTCTTACTAGCCTGAAGCTCACCAATGAGGCTAGATTGGGTGGATAGTAAGCTAGATTGCCTATCTCTACCTCCTTAACTTTGGGATTATGGGTGCTGCCACACCAGGTATTAGTAATCTTTTGTATATGTGTAAATGCGTATCATTTTTTTGTTTGTGCATTTAAAAAATGTAAATCTGCTTTACATGTTATTTTAAATGGATTGTCCAGAGAGTTTCTTACGGTGCCTTCACATGTATTTATGGCATTTATTTTGTCCCCCCCCCCAAAGTTAGGGTTTCTCTGTGTAGTCCTACCTGTCCTGTACTGTAGACCAGGCTGGCCTCTAACTCACAGAGATCCACCTGCCTCTGCCTCCCGAGTGCTGGGGTTAAAGGCGTGCGCCATTTAGGACATTTTGAGTAAGTGGTGTGCTTTGTGTAGTTTGCCTTAGTAGTTTCCATCTTCTGCTTCTCCTGTTCCATGGCACCTTACACTGAGGGCTCTACTCAAATGGCTCCAAGTGCATAAGCTAGGCACAGGGCCCTTGCACCAGAGTGGCTTTTGGAAAGCTGGGAAAAAATAGTGGTAACTTCTGGTTCCCTGTTGGTGGTACTAATTGATCGTCCCCCTCCCCCCCCATGTAGCAGTATCTTTATTTTAGTATATTCACATTGAAAAAATCTTATATTGATGAGGAAATACATATCTGAACTAATTGAAACCAAAGACTTCTCTTAATGTTTTTTTTAATTGTATTCGTAATCCCCAAAGAGATTCCTTATATAAAATTAGTTCTTTGAATTATAATCATCAAAAATATTTATTAAGACATGCTTTATGGAAGTGTTTATTACACAATGAAACTAAATATGGGGTCAAATAATTTAGGTTCATTTTAAATTTTCTGAGTGACCATGGAAAATTAATTTAAAAATTCCAACATCTTTTTTTATCATTATAAAGAAACCTGAGACTGGATATATGGCTCAGTATGTAAGGTACCAAGGCTAATAATGTCAGTAGGAGCCTCAGGAGAGCTCCAACTCCTTCGGGTTGCTCTCTGACTTCCACGTGTGCACCTTGGTGTGCATCTAGGTGGTACTAATTGTATCAATATTTTCCAAGATGTTTATGAAGGATTAGTTACTTGGAAATACTGTATTAGATTTCTTGCTTTTGTGGAGGAGTCAGTTAGTAGCCAACTTCTCTTTTGTAGTGGTGATTTTGCTTGTTTTTTAACCCCCCCCCCTGCAGAAAGGCTTATGAATGATGAAGCTGGATATATATTTTAATAATATATGTTAAAACAACAAAATTCTATGTCACAATTAAAGTTTTTGTTTAAATTACTATTAAAATTTTTTCTGTCATTAGAGAGTGTAGCTCATGCTATACACTTTAGAGGTCAGAGGACAACTTTGTAGAGTGTGTGTGTGTGTGTGTGTGTGTGTGTGTGTGTGTGTGTGTGTGTCCACCCGCGCATGCGTGTGCGTGCAGGCCCCCATGTGTAAATTGATGGGTTCTAGGGATTGAACAAAGGTCTCTAGACTTAGGTGACAAGTGTGTTCTCATGTGCACGCACCCTCCCCCATGTGTAAATAAGTGCGTTCTAGGATTGAACTAATGTCTCTAGGCTGGGTGACAAGCACCTTTACTGTCTGAACCATTTTGCCAGTCTTAATTTCTTTTAAATTAAAATTGGGAAAAAGTTTTTGTTATAGATAATTCAGATAGAGATTGTTACAGATTTGGGAGGGCTGTTGTTTTGTCTCTCATGCATTATCCATTTTTCCATTCTTCTTGTTTAGACGGAATACCCCTTACAAAACGCTAGAGCCTGTTAAGCCTCCAACAGTTCCTAATGACTACATGACTAGTCCTGCAAGACTTGGAAGCCAGCATAGTCCAGGCAGGACAGCTTCGTTAAATCAGAGACCAAGGACACATAGGTAAGCCTTCTGTGTGAACATCTGAACTCAGAGTGTATGCTGCTGACTGGTGAGTTTTAAAGACACAGCATACAAAATGATGTGCTAATAGTGAATGTAAAGGTGAGGATATTCTTTATATTTCTGAGCCCATCAAATTTCAGTTTTTCTTTTGCGATTGTTTTCATTTGTGTATATTATTAGTAGGCTATATTTCTTCTTTTTGACAGATACAAGTACATATTGGGTTTAAAACTAAAGAGTTTTTAAAGGCTAAAGATGTAGCTAAGATGGCATAGTGGTTGTCTAACATACAGGAAGTTCTGGGTTTGATCCCTGGTACCACAAAAGCCAGGCATGGTGAGGTATATAGTAATCCTAGCTCTTGGGAGGAGGAGGCAAGAGGTTCAAGGTTATCTTTAGCTACATCGTGAATTTGAAGCCAGTTGTGATACATGAGACCTTGTCAAAAAAAGCAAAAACAAACAACCCAGATAAAGCTTTTTTTTGATCCCTCAAATTTGCGTATAAGATATCCTTTTGACTTTTTGTAACAAAGTGTGTTTTAGTAGTAAACTTTGCCCCTTATCATCCCTGTCCTCCTGACCCAAGAATGATTTTCCACATATCGTTAAATGTCATAAGGCAGGGTTAGGGTTTGTATAACTCAGTGGTAATATCCTTGGTATGTGTGCGGCCCCTGAGTTCATTTACTAGGAACTCCCATTTAAAGGGGGGGACAGGGAAATACTCTTAAATGCTTTTAGACAAAGGATTAAATGCCGTAGACGTTCCATGCCTCAATTGGACTCTAAGTGGTTGTTTCAGGATAGAGTTGGTAAACTAGGGTGTGTTAAAAATCCTCTAGAGAGCAGCTGCACAGTGGGCTTTATGAAGGGCCTAGGTTGGCTGCTGAATTACATGGTCAGCATGGTTTTTCTAAAGTGGAATCTTATTCCATCACTAGTTATTTAGAATGACTTTATTAAATACCAGTCAGAAACAAGTAAAACACAGTATTGTTGATTTTATTTTCCCAGGTGCTCATTGTGTTGAAATATGAACATCTATTTAAAAATACATTTTAGAATTGTATTCTAGGAATGTCATTATGTCAGGATTTATGGGTTACTTAATCACTGTTGCAAATGTATTGCCATGACAGACAGACAATATGTAAATGAGTGAGCATGGCCATCGTCTTGTAAAATTTTACTTATGGTACTAAAATTTGAATAGCATATAATTTATTGTTTTCAAAAATAACATTCCTCTTTTGAGTTTTCCCTCACTATTTAGGGTAAAGGAAAGTTAACTCATAGCAAAATTTGGGCTGCTGTCCAGTTTTAGCCCACAGTGTATAATTTGCTACTTATCCTGTGTTACATAAGAAGTACTGAAGTCAGGAATTGTAAATATATTCCTAGGTCTGACACAAAGCTGAGTATTAAGTTCCTGGCTTGAATGAGTTGAGAATTTCATATTTAAGATAGTTTGTTCTATCAGTGGATTTTTAGAATATATTGTATTACAGTGTGATAATCTAATTATAAATTGATTATATTGGAGAATAAAATAATCTTTCCCAGGTACATCTTTGCTTTGTTGGGTTTGTGGGGATACTGATCAAACAATATTGCTTTTAAAATATGGTGTGAGCCAGACACTGTGGTGTGCATTTGAAAGGCAGTAGCTGGAAGATCCTTTGAGATCAGAAGTTTGAAACTAGCCTAGGCAACGTAGTGAGGGGCAGGTGTACTAGACAGTAATTAGTCTCAGCTAGAAGGACAGACTCTTGGCTCTGAGGGAGTTAAAGAGAGTTTATCAGTAGCAGCTATTCTAGTTGGTGAAACCTTGAAACTTTGTTCTGTTGTTACTATGTTAGGCTCACTGTATTACTGTTTTATTGCTGTGAAGAGATGCCATGACCATGGGAACTCTTATAAAGGAAAGCATTTAATTGAGGTTTGCTCAGAGTTTTAGAGGTTTAGTTCATTATCATCATGGCAGGGAGCTTGGCAGCACGCAGGCAGATGTGCTGGAGAGGGAGTTGCGAGTTCTATATCCCGATCCATAGGCAGGCAGCAGGAAGAAAGATACTGGGTTTGGCATGGGCTTTGGAAACCTGAGTCTACTCCCAGTGACATACTTATTCCAACAAGGCCACCCCAACTCCAACAAGGCCCTCTTAACCCTTTTCAAATAGTGCCACTCCCAGATGACCAAGAATGGGCCTGTGGGGGCCATTCTTACTCAAACCACCATACTCATTTTCCAGAAAATTCCTTATAACTTTTCTTAAATTTGCCTTTATATATTTTGTTTTGCTTGTTTCTGAGGCAAGGTCTCAATATGTAGCCCTGGCTGGCCTGGAACTTGCTTTGTAGACCAGAGATCCTTCTGCCTCTGCCTTCCCAGTATGGGTTTAAAGTCATGCATCCATGTGCCCAGCCCAGCTTGTTTATGTTTTGGAAACATGATTTGCTGTATAGTTCTGACATAGAAGTTGTAATCCTTCATCAGCCTCCTGGATGCAGGTATTACAGGTGTGCGCCACCATGCCTGTTTCACTTTTCTATGATAGAAATTTTAATACTGGTTTTCATTTCTAGTGTCCTGTAAATTCATTTTTATATCATCTGTCACACTAATTTTTGAGTTTGTGTTCTTATGTTCTGCTGTTGAGTTTTGTTCACTGTTCTTTTCTGAGGAAGAAGGAGGGAAGATAAGAGCCTCACTATATACTCCAGGTGCTTTCAGACCTAGAGCCTCTAGCTCTAGCCAGTGATGAAAGCCATATGTGCTATCACAACAAGGTTTAAATAGACACTTAAAACTCTATGTACTGTGAGGTTTAATGCCCATCCATTTCTTAAAGATTATTATTACCATATTAAGACAAGGTCTCATTATGTAGCCCTGACTGGCCTTGAACTCACAAAGATCTACCTACCTCTGCCTTCAAAGTGCTGGGACTAAAGGCCAGGTAGGGTTTTGAGTACTTTTATATATTGGTTTCAGGATTTTAGAAGAACAGTGAAACACAACAGTTTTAGGGTGAAGGTTTATAACCAAGTCAAAATGAATGTTTAGTACCCCTAGTTTATGATTAACCTTTTTAAAATGATTTTTCTTCTTTGTAGTGGAAGTAGTGGCGGGAGTGGAAGTCGAGAAAACAGTGGGAGCAGTAGTATTGGCATTCCCATTGCTGTGCCTACGCCCTCACCTCCCACTGCTGGCCCAGGTATGTCACCCAGTACTCTCAGGGCTAGTATGTGGCATTTGTTAACTTTATAAGAAGAGCTAAAATAACTGATTCATATTGGATAAAGATTGTTTATTGGATTGTGGCTGTAGCTATAATAAAGGCTTAACAAGTATATTTTTAGATTAATTTTCACAAAGTTGTTGGGGGTTGTATGAGCTGTAGTTTATGATACAGAGAAATAGTTTTGTTAGGTAAGTTTTTGGCCATTTTGCTTTTAGTTATATTTGTCTTTGTAAATAGTTAAGATTGATGTTTATTTCAAAAGCAAATCAATATTGTATATTTCATTTAGAAGGTCAGTATTGCTAAACTAATGTATTTGTGGCTTTCCTATTTATGAGATTCAGCACCTATTTTAGTGAAATGCAGTGACTATAAGAAAAACTTATTTTACTTTTTTAGAAGTATATAAATTTAAGGTATTCTGGGAGGACATTCAGTTAACCCTTTGGAGTTTAGTCAGTAAAATGGAGACTTTTTGAGATAGATTATTTCTGTGTAGTCAAGGCTGTCCAGAAGGGAAGACTTTCACAGTATGAAAAAACATACATTTGAAAGATAAGCATAATGAAAAAACATTAGAGGAAAATATTCTTCAGTTCTCAAATATATTGTGCAAGGAGAATGATCTGTTCATAAACACAGGCTCATTTTGTGGTCACTGCATTTATAAACTCAGAAGCCTTTTTACCTAGTAAAATTCTTATTTATTTGAATGTTTTTCGTACATGGTTGTTCTTTTTCTGTTTGTCTTCTTTTCAGTATGTTGCATTTCCCTGCCACTTTGGAATGCTTAATTTTGTTTTCTTACATTCTGGCTTAAATCATAAACTTTTATTGGAACACACTTCTTTCTTGATTCCCTGTGGAGCCCTGCTTCTCCCACTCAGCACTGTGGAGGGTGAGACAGCATAGGTATTGTGGAGCTATTAGATAACACTTTGTATATTTGCAATAAGTTGCTGTAGCCAAAAGATTTCAAGTTGTTGCAGTTAGTAGATTGTAGATGATAATGTTAAAGTTAAAGAATTAAATCTAATTTAAACCAGTGTCTTCTGGTGAAAGACCTTTGAACTTAACACTGCTCTTTACTACAATACAGAATGATCCTATGTATGGTTTATAACCAAATTAATAGGAGTTTTAATGTGTTTTTTATTTAGATTGAGGAACTAGCAGTTATTGTTCACAATTATTTTAAATCACTAATGTCCTTTCAGTGCATGAGACATTTGGATCTCTGTCTTCTATTCAGGCAATCAGAGGCCTGGGGCAAGGGTGGAGACAGGAAGTGAAACATGGAAAAGAAAATGTAGTGTGATACAGGGGATGTCTTGATGCTGTCCTATGTCATACTCTGAAAATTTTTGACGTGGACTAGGTTTTAAGAGATAGCTAAGGATGGTATGACATCACTTTCTTTCTTTTTTTTTTTTTTTGGTTTTACGAGACAGGGTTTCTCTGTATTGTTTTGGAGGCTGTCGGTCCAGCCTGGCCTCGAACTCACAGAGATCCGCCTGCCTCTGCCTACCGAGTGCTGGGTGAAATCACTTTCTTAATAGGATATTTTAAAATTGTTTTCTAGTTGGGAAGGACTAGACTGAGTTGTAAAGAATTCTGCATGCTGTAGTTGGGTTTTTTTTTTTTTTTTTACTCTTTGCTCTTTGACTCTTGGGGGCTCACCCCCCAGCTCCCAAATATATACACAGAGAAAGCATTTCTAACTTAAATTAACCTGTTTCTCTTCTTCTACTTTTTACCTTTGGTCTTTTACCTTTTTCTATTCTATTTATCTTCTTATTCTGTAGCTGGCTGTGTGACTGGTCCCTGGCATCCTCTTTCCTTCTCTTGATCCCCCATTATTCTTTCTCCTATTTATTCTCTCTGCCTGTCAGCACTGCCTATTGCTCATGTCTAGGTATTGGCCATTTAGCTCCTTATTAGACCAATCAGGTATTTTAGACAGGTAAAGTAACACAGCTTTACAGAATTAAACAAATGCAACACAAAAGAATGCAACACATCTTTGTATCATTAAATAAATATTCCACAGCATAAATGAATGAAATACGCCTTAAGCTAATATTCCACAACAACATTCAGTTTTAGAAGTATACAATAATCTGGATAGGAATAATGAGGTGTCTTTTATGAGAACTGAATTTCAATTTATATGAAATAAACTGACATTCCTCCTCCCCCCCTTTTTTTTTTAAATACACACACACACACACACACACACACACACACACACACACACACACACACACACACACATTTTGTTTTTTACGAGACAGGGTTTCTCTGTATTGTTTTGGAGGCTGTCGGTCCAGCCCAGCCTCGAACTCACAGAGATCTGCCTGCCTCTGCCTCCCGAGTGCTGGGATTAAAGGCGTGTGCCACCACCGCCGGCTCCCCCTCCTTTTATTTTTCTCAAAACATTTATATATACTGAGGAAAAAGAAAGAGATGAGAGAGGGAGGGAGATAATATAAAAAATATGACTGAAAATAGCATTGAAAGAAAATCTTGGTGAAATTGTTTTCAGCCTACTTTAATGGAAAATGATAATTGAAGCCACAATGAGTTGCTATTATTGTGTTAACTGGATAACTAAAATGTAGATGTCTGTGTGGCAATATTGATGGGGAGAGACAGACATTTCTGGTGGAGTTTATTTGTTGACTTCTCACTTCACAAGACTCTGTTGTTACCTAGTCATGTTAAACCAGCATCTACTCCAATTTAACAGTTTCAGTTCTAGAAATTAACCTCAGAGTACCATTTCTCAAAAGTACTAGTTCTTTAAAAGATTTCTTCATAGATTTTTGAGGTCAAAGCTTTATTCATTGCTTGTCCTTTTCATTTTGTTAAAGAGTTTCTTTTCTAGAGGCTTCATGAAGTCATTGCTTTGACAGCTAATGCCATGTGAACATTGTATATTAATGCATCTTACTGCTGTGTCACTTTGAATTCAAATACAGTTGTTATATATATAGGTATAAATCACTCCAAGGACAGCTTTTGGGGGTCCTTTAAGTTATAATTTTTAAGAGTGGACTCAAAGGCAAACATGTTTAGAAACCACTTATTTAGAGCATTGACTTTGAGAGCAGTAGGGCCAAACAGTTGTCAACATGGAGGAACTAGGAAGATATGTCAGTTTTCAGACCCTGTTGTAAACCTACTTAGTTAAAAACTCTGAAAATGGGACCTAAAAATCTATATTACAAGCCTTCAAGGGGAGATTTTCATCAGTGCTGAATCTTAAGAACAGTTATCCTAGGGAAATTTGGCATTTGTATTTAGCTGAGTTCATTTGTAAGGAGTAATATGTAGTAGTGCTAAGATTAGCACCTAAATGAACTTAAATATTTAATAACAGTAGTTGCTAACAGTTATAAAAATCAGAAAAACATACTTGACTGACAGTTTACATTGTATTACTTAGCCTAGATTATTTAGCCAGATAGAATTTTGAATCAAATTCTGAAACTTTTGGCTGTGGGAGGGAAGTTGTTTATGAAGCAGTTATGAATGACCCATAGCTAACAGCTTTTATCTCAGACTATCTGTGATGCTAATTTTGTTGGAGAAAGTTTACATATAAAAGCTCTGTATCGTTGTCCTTTCCTCTGATGGTTGATTCTTGGACACCCCTACCTTCAGTAGATCCAAAATCCTTAGCTATTCAAGTTCCTTATAAAAAATGCATGGTACCTGCAGACAACTTATACATTTACACCTTACTATATTTTAAGTCATCTCTAGTTTACTTATACCAATATAATGTAAATGGTCTGAATAGTTGTTATTGTGCGTTGTTTAAGGAACATTCTGGAGTACACATGCAGATTCTATGTGGTATTAGTGAAACAGCATTTGAGACTGTGCTTATTGCAAAGGTTTAGTAGTAATGTTCCATGTTTACTTTGTAGCTCTTCACAGTGACTGTTCCCCTTGTTTATGAACTTCAGAAGTAGAGCTAGTTCCATTTTCACCTTCCTTTTCCTTCATTTTGTTCTTTGGGCTTTACTAAGTAGTAAGAATCCCTACCCTACCCCTTTGTTCTGCTACTTTGGGTGTTTATAATGCTTTGTTGGTTGCCTTTGACTAATGCTTTTCAGCAGCCCCGGGCTCAGCTCCTGGTTCCCAGTATGGCACAATGACCAGGCAGATTTCTCGGCACAACTCTACCACTTCCTCGACATCTTCTGGTGGATATAGACGAACTCCCTCTGTGACTGCCCAATTCTCTACTCAGCCTCATGTTAATGGAGGTCCACTTTATTCTCAAAATTCAAGTAAGCTTGTGTTTTGCAGGCATACAGCAATAGTGGAGCTCCTTTTGAAGGAAATTATTTGAAACTGTTACTCTTAACTGTGATAGACAACAATTGAAGCCCTGCTTATTTCATGCTTATTTTTACTTTTGAATGTTAATCTTTGAATAACCATCTTAGAAGCAACTGCTTATCAAGTGAACTCAAGTTCACTTGAGTATACCCAATCTACCCAAATTCAACAAGTGCTTTAATATCCTATGAGTACTATTACAGTATAATTTGAACTGAAGAGCAAAAGTCTTACATTTAATGGGCATCATTTTGACAGTTTGGTAGTGATGCCAAGACACAAACATAGTCAAAGATTTTTAAAAAAGTAATAAAAAATTGCTGGCTATCACTTCTAAAGTTGTGACTTCTTTTGGAATGCTTTCTCTCCTTACTTTATCTGTCTGAATAATTCTATAGGTGGGAAGGATTTTCTTTTGATTTCCTTCTGTTCACTTCAAATTGCACATCCCAACACTAATTGCAGCCATTCTATTAAAAACTTACAGGGTTAGAAAATAGACATAGAATTAGAAAGAAAAGGTTTGAATATCTGAAGATAGTTATTGAGTCCACTTTTCATGTTAAGATGCTAAATCCGAAAGGGCAAACATTTGAAATAAGCCTGCTGTCCAGTATTTACTTTTGTCATTAAGTTATTGGGTATAAACTGACAGGTTTTTTTTTTTTTTTTTATAGCAACCTTTTCTCTTTTAGGTGTTTCTAGAATTGAATGTTCTATGAAGAGAATGATGACTTCTCTGTATTTCACGGGAATTTTCTTGGTTCTTTCATCTGCATATTTATTTATTTATTTATTTATTTATTTATTTATTTATTTATTTATTGTGGGGGTCAAGGCATTACTTGTAGCCCTAATTGACCTGGTGCTGCCCAACTCATACTGGCCTTGAACTTGCAGCCCTCCTGCTTGTTGAGATGACAGGCAAGCACCACCATGCTTAACTTAAGTAGAAGCTGTTGGTCTTTTGTTTACATTTTTAAGTACAGAGTGATTTGGTTATAGCAAATAGAAAAGTACTTTGGAATAAATGTCTATATTCACAGAGAAACCCAGGTTTATACAACCTTTTTCTGGACTAGAATTTTCATTCAGGACACTAAGAAATATTAACTATTAGCTGATATTTTACTTCACACTCCTGTATGGGTTTGAGTGGTAGCTTTATTATCTAAGTAGATTACAAATTAATCATTTATCACACTGGGTTTTTGTTGTTGCTTTTGTTGAGACAGGCTGTCATAGAACTCACTATGTAGATTAGGCTGACTGAATTCAATCATCTACCTGCCTCTGCTTCCTGAGGTCTGGGATTAAAGAAAGGCATATGCTATCATGATAAATTAGTTGTTTATCCCACTAGTTTCATGAACTTTTTTTCCATATTATTTTTTTTAGGTCCCATCTTTATGTTCATGTCCCCCACGCACTTTGCCTTTTAATTTACTCTTCAAATAGGGTTTTTATTTCACTAATTCACACTTGTCTAGTTTTTCAAATGTTTGTGGATCTCTTCCTTAGTGAATATATGTATTCTTTTTTGAAACTAGAAAGCACATTTAGCTACAGCTATTTAAGGGATTTTTGTTTTATCCAATTGTCCTTCAGTCTGAACGGCTGGTGTAGTTTGACTGGTGTGGTTGTATTTAGTGTTGTGATGTGCACGGTTTTCTCTCGTGTAGATGTGCTGGAGATGAGCGTCTTCAAAGCACATCTCATCTTCTCCCTCTACTAACAAGCATGACTAGCCACTAAGGGGTCTTCTGAAAATTATTTGGGCTAATGGGAGACTTTTGATTGTTTTTGTTTGTTTTAAAATAAGTACCCTCTAACCCTTTAACAAGTTTTCTCTGTAACACAATGAAAGAAGACTAGTTTCTGTTAGTGAACTGAATACTGTTTTTAGATCTTTATGAACTTTTAGCGCATATATATTGCACTAATTTTGGACTTGGAACCTCTTTCACGTTTTTATGCCTATCAACAAAATTTGTGTTCTGCAGTAGATAAAGTTAATTTTGATAAAATGATCTTTAGAACTAATAAAGTTGGTTTTCTTGGTTAATGTAACATCACTTATTGGTGACCACTAGTAAGCCGAATCTTTCCATTTAAACCTGTTGACTTTTTATGAGTCATTTTTAGCAGTTACTGTCGTGTTAAAATGAGACAAGGCAGTAAACATTCTTTGCTTCTAGTTTGTGTCAGTCTTTTACACATTTGTTAGTCACATGACTATTTGACATTAATTCCTTATAAAGTATCTCCTGAAAAAGGCTACACGTTTCAAATCAGCTAGTGTCTCACTAGAAATAATGTAAATAATTGTATATTTTGACTGATTAGAGATTAAGTTTCCTTTCTCAATATCCACAAAAAGACCAATTTTGATAACTTACCCTGAGAAACTGAATAATCACAAGGTACAAGGAACATTCTTGACCCTTAGTAAGTTTAGGGCTGATTTGTTACAAATAAAACTGCCAACTTAAAAAGTAACAAAAAATATTATTTTGTAAGCAAGAGTATTTCTAGAGAGGTGTCTAAACATAGATATATAGGAATCTTCTTTCAAGGAAACTTGTGATTAATGTATTGATTTATCTATATGTTTATACAGGCAATCAACAGCTGTTACACATTTATTTGGTTTCAAATTTGCAACATTACCTTAAAGCTAGACTAATCTGTTAGTATATAGTGTTACAGCAAAAACAGAATTTTGGAAGGCTCTGTAGGTATTTAATTGTGACATATTTTAAAAGTATTTCTTTAGAATTTGAAAAACATTGTGTTAAAATAAATGTTATAGGAAATTAAAAAGTTCCCCAAATAATGTAATGCTAGGTTAAAAGTAAGTGTATTTGTTATTTTATGCCCATGTGGCTTGGCCTGATTCTGTGGGGAAAAGAACTTGAAGAAGGTAGCAGGTTTGTTTGTTTGTTTTTGTTTTGTTTGTTTTCATTTGCAGACTGTTCTTGGCATACTTGTTTATGTTTGTGGTCCTTGTAACTGACTTCTGCTTTTTGTTTGTTTCCTTTTCTTTCTTTATCTGTTTTATTCCCAATACTGTGTTTTGCTGCCAGTGTCTATTGCCCCCCCTCCTCCCCCCATGCCTCAGTTGACTCCACAGATACCTCTCACAGGCTTCGTGGCCAGGGTGCAGGAAAACAGTAAGTCCGCAAACACAGCCTTCAGAGATTAGAGGCTGTCTCCTCTAGCATGCATGGCTGCTGAGTCACCGTTTTCTTTCTTCCTACTGAGAAGCTAATCTTACCTTGAAGAATAGGTACAGATGTGTGTTACTGAAACGGAAGAGCACGGGCTTCAGTTCTTTCCTCTTGTGTGCATGGTTACTGACCCATATCAATTTCAAAACTACAGTTTTCTTAAGTATTTAGGTGATCTAAGATATGAGATCTCTTTGCATATTTTCAAGCTTATTGAAACAAGAGAATGCAAATTCCTAATAGTTATTCAGAGAATTAGAAAATATTTTGCAGCTGGGTATGGTGCATGCCTGTAATCCTAAATCCTTAGGAGGTTGAGGTAGGAGATCTTTGTGTGTTTGGAGGATACTGTGGGCTATATAGTAAGACTTTGTCTTTAAAAAACTAAAGAAGCCAAAACAACAAAAATGTATACTCTAACAGATTTGTCAAGGTCTAGTTACACTGTACATTTATCAGGAAACTGAGACAGGGCCCCTCCACCCTCCTTTAATAGCACAACATTTTAGGAAGGACCATTGAAGTGACACAGTGAATGAAAACCCTTGTCATCAAGCATGGCGATCTGAATTCAGTCCTCAGAACCCACATGGTGGAAGGAGAGAACTTACTCCTGTAAGGTGTTCTCTGCATTACACATTTACACAAAATAAATAATGTGAAAAAATTAGAGAATGACTGTTGATTCTGATCTATATCAAGCTTCATTATTACAAATGAATCTTGGGGGCTGAAGAGATGACTCAGTAGTTAAGAGCACTTGTTGCTCTTGTAGAGGACCTGGGTTCAAATCCTAGCACCCTGGTGACAGCTCACAACAGTCTTAACTCAGTGCTGTGGGCTCTGTACCCATGTGATGCACATACATACATGTAGGCAAAACACTCATACACATAAAATTATTTTAAAAAAACCCTGAATCTTCAAGAATAAGTGAATCACATACATGTCATCTGTCTGAGGGGCTGACAAGGAAGGTGGAATCTGCCTCATGCCCTAACCAATAAGTGAGTGGACCTGTGAGATGACATGCCAAATATAAATAAACCTGACTATTTTCTTAAAGTTTTATCTTAATGAAGACTAGGCTCAACAACTCACATTAAATATTTTTAATTAGTCTAAGTAGACTATATCATTGCTGATAACCTTTGGGGTTACACAAGATTCTGCATGTCCAGAGTGAATATTGTGTGGCACATGAAAAGTACAGTTGCTGAATTGTTCAATATCAAACACTGAAATTAAGGTGGTATTTAGTTCTAATTTATTTCATTGGAGATCTCCCTAAAAATAAATTTCAGAATTATTTGAGTAGTGAGCAACCTACTTGAGCAATCCATCTTTTAGGAAAGTACATTTGTTGCAAATTCTAAGTTAGCTTTTGCTGCCCCTACATTGCATTTCTCATTCCTACCATCTTTATTCAGTGTTATATGCTAGGCTTTGGTAAAGATTCAAACAGTTTAAGACAAAATCCCTTCCTTCAGGAGATATGTAAGGGGCTATTGTTAATGTAGATTTGCAAGCCTTTTTATTATTAACTTCAGTTTGAAAAATCCTGTGTTTGGATATCTAAAATTAAATGAATCCTAGGTATTTAAAAATAAGCAATGAGTATAAATTTACTAGGCACAGTTGTTTGCCTCCTCATTTTTGATGCTCTTGGCAGTTGTACCCAGGGTGTACCCAGGGTCTTGCATGTGTTAGGTTCTAGAGAGCATTGACTAATTGGTAATTGGAAAGAACAGAAATCAGGTATTCATATTATTGCCAAAGAGATACCTCAACACAACTATTTTTGTTCTTTTTAACAAACACATGATGATGGGTTGTTGTTCTCACTCCATTGATATTCAGGTTTATTTCTATTGCATATCTCCACTTTACTTTATGAAGTGCAAATATTTTATGTGCTTTTTTTTGTTTTTGTTTTTTGTTTTGGTTTTTCGAGACAGGGTTTCTCTGTATTTCTTTGGAGGTTGTCCTGGAACTGGCTCTGTAAACCAGGCTGGCCTCAAACTCACAGAGATCCACCTGCCTCTGCCTCTCGAGTGCTTGGATTGAAGGCATGTGCCACCAACTTCCAGCTTTATGTGCTTTTTAAATACCTCTGATGCCCAGAGGAAGTAATGATAAAGACATGTAGCTTTTAACCTAGTCTGGTTTAAGATATGAACCCCTAATGAATTATGCCTTTTATTATTAACAACAGAAAGCCTTTTGGATCAAATATGAATAGTGCTAAGTAAAAATTAGAGCAGAAGAAAGTTGGATTGACCAGACTTTTGTCATAAAATTAAAATAAGCCGATGTATACTTAATGACAGTTGAATGGAAATCTTCAACTAGTAGGTTGTAAAAATGAAGGTAACAGCAATGTCGGAACTCCAAGAAATGTACAATGTGCTTTGGTTAATTGCTGTCAGGATGGGCTCCCACCCGTTCTCTTTCTCCACACCAGAAAGCTTTATGGAAGAGGTAGGTATAGGCAGAAGTAAGTGAATCAGTGCATGTGGTGGACAGCCCAACTGTAGACTCCTCAGATTTCTGTGAGCATCACCACAAAGAATTTATTTTTATTATCTTTTTCATCTTAAGGATAAAAGTAGAAATCACAGAATTGAAGAGGTCAGGATACAGGACTGTTTTTTGCATGCTTTAAAACTGAACCTCTTGGTTATGTTTTCAACATACTCTACTAGGAAAATCCTTTAAAAGTTACTTCAGCTTATTTAAGAATGTTTTCCTTCCTTCCTTTCTTCTCTCTTTTCTTTAACTCTCTCTCTCTCTCTCTCTCTCTCTCTCTCTCTCTCTCTCTCTCTCTCTCTCTCTCTCTTCCCCCTTCTCCCCCCTCTCTCCCCCTTCTTCTCTTCCCCCTCTACCCACACCAACACCCACACCCCAAAACCAAGAACCACTTTGTGTAGCTATGGATGGAGTAGAATTTGCTGTATAGACCAGGTTGACCTTGAACTCACAGAAATCCACCAGCTTCTACTTCCCAAGTGTAGGGATTAAAGACATGCACCACCTTGCCTGATAAGTTTATTAAGGAATTTGTGGTAGAAGTTTGAGCATTAGTTGTGTAGCTTTGAATTTCTAATCCTAGAAGCATTGGTGGCCCAGTAAGCACAATTCTAGTCCCACACACCCATGTCACTGTTAACACCCTAGATTCTTTATAGCATGCATACACACACTCCCTAGCCATCTAGAATCTGAAGTGTGATTCATTTTTATTGTTTGTTTAATTTTGTTTCTTTTAAAATTACTACATCAACATTTTGTGTTTAAATCTTGTGTTTAAGTTAGAAAATTGAATCTTTAGGATCTGATGTCATCTCATGATTGTTTATTAGCCATGATGTAAAATCTTAGTTTACTTTCTACATTAAATTTTGATTATGAATATAATTAATACTTTAAAAATATTTAATGTAATTTTCTAGTTGGGAATTTTTTGTTGTCTTTATTAAAATTTAAATAAATAAAAATAGAAAACAAACAAACAAAACCTTATACAGATGCAAACCTGATATTACAGACTTGCTTTTCTCTCTGTTAAAACTATAAATAAAAAGTGTCCATTTGAGATGTAGTTTCTAGGGCAGTAAAGCTATTAAAAGCCAAAATTGAAGGCATGACTATACATAGTAAAACCAGTCAAATCTCTAATGTACGATACTGAATGGTATTCCCAATGACAGGGTCCCTTAGGTAACCAAGCCCAGTGGAGCATTTGTTTTGATCTGAGTCTTAGGATAAGGAAACTTCTTTACTCTTGTAATTCTTATCAAAGTAGATACTGTATCCTAACCTATTGCATTCATTAATTTGTAGTATTTATTATGTTTATTTAGCTCATTGTATTATTGCAAAATTACGCTTAAAAGCAGTATAAATTTTAACACACCCAGCTTTTATTTCTAATCACTGCATGTTTTATATAGTGCATGCTGTAGGAGTTAGAATTTTGTTAAATTCTGTTAATTAAAAATGTTTCATTTAAATTAATTGCTTGTCTGAATCCTTTTTTAGTTGCTGATAGCCCAACTCCACCACCACCTCCTCCACCGGATGACATTCCCATGTTTGATGACTCTCCACCTCCACCACCGCCTCCTCCGGTGGACTATGAAGATGAGGAAGCTGCAGTAGTTCAGTATAGTGACCCGTATGCAGATGGTGATCCTGCATGGGCTCCCAAGAACTATATTGAGAAAGGTGAGGTCTTACTGTCATGGACGGATTTGAAGTCAGTAACCCAATTACAGAGTTTTATTACTGTTAAAAAAAAATCACATCCAATGTTTCCTATCTGCCTTAACAGTCAAGACGGTAACTCGTACTGCATATACTTTGTGTTCTTGGACAATATGTAAAGGAGGCTTTCTTTCGGTATGTTTTAAATTACATTTGTTAGATGTGCCGTTTTCTTTTTAAAAACATAATTTCTTTATTGAATCTTTGGGAAATTTCATATCATGTACCCCAGGTCCACTCATCTCCTACTCCCTCCATATTCACCACCACCCCTGTCCCCCAGCAGCCCTCCAAACAAAGATAAAAAAAAAAACAAAAAACAAAAACATAAAAAATCCTCCCAAAGCAAACAAAAACAATCAAACAAAAGACCAAAAGAAAATAAACAATAATCAAAACAAACCTCTTCACTCCTCCAACTCCTCCATCTTCCCTGCTCCAACACCTCTTCATTTGTCTGGGTGGCATTGGGAACCACATTGTGCCACACAGCATAGACTTTTCTCTAATCAGCTTTACTTGCAGTGAGTCACTGGTCTGGTTTTAGGCCTCTGGTACATCGTCATCACTGCATGCTTACTGGAGCTCCTCTGGGATATCCCTCGGCTGCTCTGAGTCATGGAGGTCATAGGTTATTATTGTTCTACAGGACCAGTCCCTTCACTGCCTCAAGCAGGTCCTGGATGTTAGGGTAGAGTTAGTGTGTGGACCTGGGTGGTAGTAGAGCTGGTCAGTCCAGGCCACTAGGAGTGCTTCTGGCTTCAAATTGACTTGCTTGTCTGTCGTTTTAAGGTCAGTTAAGGCCCAAAACTGAGCTAAATGACTTACTGAGGCCATAAGTAATTAGTGATGATTTTAAGCATTCCCTCTGGCTCCACCTTTTCTTTTTTCTTTTTAAATTAAAGGTCAGGAGTAATTTAGATTTTTGCTGGTTATATTGACTTGGCTGTTTTGTAGTCCAAAGTCAGGAGTTATTATATATGTGAGTAGATGTAGCTGTGTTCCATAAAACTTTATTTTTAAAAATTGGCAATGGGATGCTAGAGAAATGGCTTAGAGTTAGGAACATTTCTTGCTCTTGCAGAAGACCCAGGCAGGTTTAGTTCCTAGCACCCACATGGTAGCTCACACCCATCTATAACTTCAATTCCAGGGGATCTGATGCCTTCTGACTCCTGGAACCAATGGGCATTGTTTGTTGACTTCTTGTGTAAATAAAATTAATATTTAGCAGGATTAAGCTAAGCATGGTGGTGTATACTTGAAATCACAGTACTCTAGAGGCAGAGGCAGGAGGATCATTTTAGATTTGACAGTTGTCTCATCTACATAATGATTACCTCAGTCTTTGCTATGGGCAAAGAAAAGATTTAGAAGGATTATTGACTTGTTTAGGGATTGTGTTGCTGTGGTAAAACAACATGACTTGAATCAAGTTGGAGAACAAAGGGTTTAATTGTTACAGTTTATAAGGGAAGTCAGGGCAGGAACCTGGAAGCCATGTAGGAGTACTGTTACTGACTTGATTTTCTTTGCTTGCTCAACCTACTGTCTGTCTGCATTTAGGACCACCTGCCCAGGAGTGGCACCACCCACCATGGGCTGTGGTCATCCACATCAATCACCAGTCAAGAAAATGCACCACAGACTTATACAGACCATTTTCTTAATTAAGATTCTCTCTTCACAGACATGTTCCTAACTTGTGCAAATTAATATAGAGCAGCGAGGACACGTATATTTCAAGTCATAATAGCCATTTTTGTAATGACAAGATAATGAAACCTGTTTAATTTGGATTAACAGTTTATGACAAGACTATTATGAAAGCCTTGTTCTTATTCTTGTTCTTATTAATAAATCAAATTTAACCTAATATATGCTGATGTGATCCTATTCTCTGGATTAACCTAATAGATTTAAATTCCAGAGAGCCTTACAGTACATATAGAAGGGAGAGTTTGATCCTTTATCTTGATTAGATCCTGGAGAAATAGAGTCAACATCAAATTATTATTAGTGGTTAAGTAGTTGTAAGGGAAATGATATTAGGGAGTATATACATTGAGATAAGATTATTACAGAGGAAACCTGAAACCAGTGTGGTTCACTACCTTTTTGAGCCATCTGCATAAGAGGATCTAAGAACATGAAATGGTTTTTGTTTCCAGCTCTTTTTTATTCCCCCCCTGGAGATGGTTTCTCTGTAGCTTCCGAGCTGGAACTGGCTCTGTAGACCAGGCTGGCCTCAAACTCATAGAGATCCGCCTGCCTCTGCCTCCCGAGTGCTGGAATTAAAGGCGTGCACCACCAATGCCTGACTTGTTTCTGGCTTTTGTCAGTTTAAAGTCAGTGTATAGCACTGAATCTCACCTCCTGTGACTCTAGATACAAGAGTATTACCAAAGTTAAATTATTTACAGAGCTTTTCTTAATAATTGTCAATCCTTTGCAGTCACATGATCCTTGTAGCTTGTTATTTAACCAGGATATTTTTTTGATAGTGTGTGTACATTTTTTTTTCTTTTTTTGGTTTTTACGAGACAGGGTTTCTCTGTATTGTTTTGGAGGCTATCGGTCCAGCCCGGCCTCGAACTCACAGAGATCCGCCTGCCTCTGCCTCCCAAGTGCTAGGATTAAAGGTGTAGTGTGTACACTTTTAAGCTTTGATATGCTATTGAGATCATAATCACATACTGTGATTTTGCTGTAGAACTACAATGGAAAGAAATGGGCTTGTGAATCCGCTTACCACATTGTTTTGTAAGGAGAAAAGACTGCCTATTTAACTTAATAAATGATGGCAATTGAGGGGACTGGAGAGATGGTTCAGCGGTTAAGGCTACTGAATGGTCTTCCAGAGGACCTGAGTCCCAGCACCCACATGGCAGCTCACAACTGTCTGTAACTCTAAGATCTGACAGTCTCACACAGACAGACATGCATGCAGGGAAAACACCAATACATATAAAATAAAAATAAGTACATTATAAAAAAAAAAGAAAAAATGATGGCAATTTATCTGTATGTAATCTTTCCCTATTTCACTAATTTAGAGTTAGTAAGGAGACTGGTCCTCTTTCTTAGGGTAAAAATATAAGCATCATAAATGTTCAAAAAATAACTCATTTAAAAAAAATAAAGGAGCCGGGCATTAGTGGCGCATGTCTTTAATCCCAGCACTCGGGAGGCAGAAGCAGGCGAATCTCTGTGAGTTCCAGACCAGCCTGGTCTACAGAGTGAGTTCCAGGACAGGCTCCAAAACAATACAGAGAAACCCTGTCTTGAAAAACAAAACAAAACCAAAAAGAAAAAAGGGTGCTAAGAATAAATTTGAAAAAATCATGTTATATATTTACCATTCACATGTAATTTTAGACTTATGTTATAGAATGACTTTAAGGAAATATTTAAATTCACAAAGAATATAGAAAGTAGTACATCTAAGTTGCTTTCCCTTTCTACAACAACTGGAAAGGATATTTTAACTGGAAAGGAAGAGTATATTGAACTTTGTATCACACTTTCTGCGTTTTCCCTTACTTTACCATCTTTAAAAACAAACTTTTACAGTTAGTAGTCCTTTTTCCATTTTAAAACTGTGCATATCACCATCATTTACCATGGAATTTTGAATAAGTAATTTATAAATGTATGGTATGGTTAAAATAGACAGCTTGAGTTACCTGGTTTACTTAATGACTACGTAGCTGTTCATAATGCATTTGTAAAATGGTACTTTGCTTAGACATTCCATGAATATTTGAATGACTAAAAACACTAAATTAACCCTGAATTCAACACTTGGTTCTATGGGACTGCAGGTCTGTAATCCTAGCACCTGGTGTTGAGACAAAACCACAAATGTGAGATCAGTCTAAGCTAAAAAAGAGATCTTGCCTCAGAAAACCAAAACTAAAATGTAAATCCAAGATTTTAAAATTATTATTACTTCATTTATTTTATGGTATTGGGACACATGCCACAGTCTGTATGAAGATCAGAGGATAACTAACAGCCAATTCACAAATTCTCTCCCGCCATGTAGTATTCTAGGGATCAAAGTCAGGTCTTCTTGGTGGCCCTCAGATGTTTCTTAAAGACATTTAGAACCCAGTGTCTTCTGTAGTGTGATCATATTGTCAGTGTGATTAGTGTGGTTAGAGGTTTAGGAACTTTGTTGGCCACTTACTTACATTGGTAGGAAAATTAAGTTCAGCCAGGCCACTGTGGCGGTGGTGGTGGTAGCAGCCTACGCCTTTATTCCCAGTATTTGGGAGACAGGCAGATGGATCTCTGTGAGTTCCAGGACAGACAGGGCCACACACAGAAACCCTGTCTTGAAAACCAAAAATACTTGGTTTTCCTCTACTATATAGATTTGTCATTACATTTTAAAGTTCAAGTAAATGGAGATTGTACTCTCATGTCATACTTTTTTTTCCCCCACAGTTGTTGCAATATATGATTATACAAAAGACAAGGATGATGAGCTGTCCTTTAAAGAGGGTGCAATCATCTATGTCATAAAGAAGAACGATGATGGCTGGTTTGAAGGAGTTTGCAATCGAGTGACTGGACTTTTCCCTGGGAACTATGTGGAATCAATCATGCACTATACTGATTAGGTCTTTTCTTTTTTCTTTTCACGTAGGTTATTACTCCGTCATATTGTGAGACTATATGGTTAACAGAATTGTCTTAATGTTTAAAATGTGCCCATATTTTCAGGATATAATGTTTTATTGGTATATTTGGATGTCTACCTGTAAGCATACATTTTGGAGGCAGTTCACATATTGCTAAACAGCAATTTTATACCAGAGACTGCCTGTAATTGATTATGCATATATACTCACACCTTGATAACTTTATGACCAGCCTAAATATTCTGGGGATGTGGGTTATTATGTTTAACAAATCATGGCTCAGAATGCACCGTTACATGTGCAGCATGGTCACTAACATTATGTCAGACTAATAGGAAAAACAAAACTTAATGCTGGTGCTGGTCATACTTTTGGTTTAAATTCTCGTTTTTTAAGAATACTGTGTTTAAAGCATGCGTAAAATTTTATGTATTGAAAGATACTTAACAGTTCAAGATGCTTCCAGTTTGTGTAATGTTTATCTGGAGTACTTATACTTGAGTCTCTAGTGAAACTAAAGATTATCTGTAATGTTGTAATTTGTACCTAAGTTTTTTAATGAGTGAAATTTGCATTATAAATTTTCCATTCATAAAAATACGTAAGTGAACCAAGGGATTTTGTCCTCTCCTTTACTGGTTTGCTTTAAACATGTGTGCTCATGCATATGCATGCACGCAATCCCAACACAAAAGATTTATTGCAGAATTATGGTTCTATTTTCTCAATGTATTAGCTGGGAAATGTTTTTAGCTTTATCTTAATGTGTCGGAACAGCAAAGTCACAGAATTTTGCAGATTTCGGAACTGAGACATTGTGTCAAAGTAAGCACATCATCCTGTAGGTAAAAATTCTAAGGGGTGCCACACCAGTCCTGCGGTTTTAATGAAAATGAATTCACACTAGTTGAAAATGTTTTACATATTGTAAAAGTGAATGCAATTAATTTGCAGGTAGGCATATTTAATGTATTACCTGGCACTAGCAACATAAGATTTTACAATTGGGAAAGAAGGCGGGCCATGTATTACTCTGTAAGCAGGTAAATAAGCAGGTTTGTATTGTGACTGAAATGCAACACATGCACTTTGTGTGTCTCCTTGATTTAAGGGAGGGTTAGAGGGATATTTCTCTTGTATATAATTCTGTTCTGCTTAGGATATTACAGTAGATCACACAAGTGTGGTTTCTATGTACTGAGGATTACAGATGTATGACAGCATAGTAAATGTGAGAGCAGCGCAAAATATTTCTGAAAATTAAAGAGCATTGTTCCTACCAAATCAACAACTATTTCATTTATATTTTACCTTTGTTATTTTTGAAGTATTATGTCATTAGTGATCAGATAGCTATATTATGCCTTTTCTTTTTGAAGCAGAATGTTTTCTTAATTTGTAAATAACCTGTTGTCTAAATTTTATCTACAGTCTTTTATAATAAACTATGCTCCTACATGAAAAAATTTGGATATTGTTAAAATATAACGAATGTAGCTTATATTAAATTTAAGTACATACTTCAGAATTCTCTGACCTTTAATCCTATGATGAAACAAAGACAAACCACTTGAATTTTAACGTTGATTATTTATTTGTGTAATGGCTTTACATGTGGGCATTAACAATGTAAACAGGACCACACATAACCATCAGGATACCTCGATTAGAATTTATAGGACTATAATGACACTGGTTTAATTACATTTAAAAAGTTTTCTGAAAAACTTTGCCAATAAAAAAAAATTGCCCATCAATAAGGTTGAAATTATTTCCTAAAGTGATTTTTGGTTATCTGCACATGAAGCAAATAGTGTTTCACAAAATTCATTAGGCACAGTCTGGTAAAATAGCTGCCAGAAAGAACAGGAAGAATTGTCATTTATCTCTTGTGAGCACACTTTCAGAAAGCTGGATGAGGGCATCCCTTTCTGTGGATGGTCTAAGTTTCCTGATCTCTCTCACTGCTTCATGGCAGTACTGCTGGGCGAGGTAGGTTGTTTGTTGAACGCCATCACTCTACAGGAGACAACAAAACAGACAGATCAATGATCAGCTCCCAGAATGCTGTCACAATAGATTAAACAGTTGTTAATCTGAAGTCCTTTCCAACAATTATATCCCCTTTCATATGGAAACACGCTTTAGTTCTATTAACACACACAGAATCTGTCTCTCAAGCAGCCAGCCATTTTCTGCTCCTTCTACTGAAGCATTACAAGTTTTAAAAGTTGTATCTATATAAAAGACCTTACTATTTTAAAATGAAAACTCAAAGGGCTTGTGATTAAAAATGCCTTTCATATTGCAAATGATACAGCTCGTCCCCAGCGTTTCTAAATCTAATCATATCACTGTCTTCAGTTCTGTGGATTACTTTTGCCATCATGTATGAGAACACCACTGCTTCTGTCTTCTCTGTGCCATTAAAGATGGTTACACTCTGGAACTATGTTTCTAATGTTGGTCCTTTGTAGAAGTTGGACACTAATAAAGCGTTTTGTTCTCTGATACAATATTTACTATGGAATTAAGTAGTATAATAGTAGTATAATAAAACACTTCTAGCCTGGTGGTGGTGGCTCACACCTTTAATCCCAGCACTCGAGACAGAGGCAGGTGGATCTCTGTGAGTTTGAGACCAGCCTGGTCTACAAGAGCTAGTTCCAGGACAGCCTCCAGAACCACAGAGAAAACAAAACAAAACAAAACAAAAAACCAAAATACCACCACCAACAAAAAAAAACCCACTTCCTTCTCCATGGTTCTCTTATATTTTGATTGTGAGCCCAGTCTTTAGCGGCTAAGCCGTCTCTCCAGCTCTTCTCCATGTTGCTCAATCGCTGTTATTTAGATTATAGTCTTCCTAATATATGGTTGAAAAGCTAGACTCAAAACATGAGTTTAGTTTTCTATGCCATCTTGCAAAGAAGCATGCTTTCTCTTCTTTGGTGTTTCAACACTTCTTGCTGATGAACCTGTGCAAGTAACCTACTTCAAAGGGTATGTGAGAAATCAACTTGGTTTTCTTTTTTGAGACAGGATTTCATTATGTAGCCCTGACTGGCCTAGAGCTTACTATGTAGATCAGGCTGGCTTCAAACTCAGAGATCCATCTGCCTTTGCCTTCAACTTGCCTGAAGATATATTGGATAATGTAACTCAGTAGAGAACTCCAGGTTTAAAATGTTTATTTGGATGATCATTTGGAAGGCATTGCTCCACTGTCTTCTGCCATCTAGTATTTTTATTGCACAAAGCCAGTTTTGGTATCTTTGCCTTTGTAATGACCACTTCATAGATTGTCTTCTTAAAATATGTTACATTATTGCTTTCCCATACATACATATTATTACACTTCATTCTTATTGACCCCTCCTGCTGCTGTACCCAATCACCACTTGTTACCGGTCCTCTTTCTCAATGTTACCCTTTTGTGCTTTTATATAAATATAGTCCATTAACTCTTCCTTCCCCACTTAAGTTCTTTTTTTCTTCTTTTATGATCTACACATGTACAAATTTAAATCTAGAGTCTTTTTATGAAAAATGATTTGAGACTGACTTGTTCTGACTAACAATCTTTAGTTCTGTCCATTTCCTGTAAATATCATAATTTTATTTTTAAATATTTCTTTTAAGATTATGCATATGTCTGTATGTGGATATGTACATGTTGAGTATGGGTGTCATGTAGTCTAGAAGAGGGTGTCTGAGCTCCTGGAACTGAGCTACCAGACATAGATGCTATGAACCAAACACATGTCCTTAAAGAATAGTAAGCTATCTCCCCTGCTCTGATTTATTTTTTCCTTATGGCTAGATAGAATTCCATTGTTCATATGTATCTGATTTTTTTTATTCATCAGTTTGTGAACACCTAGGTTAGTTCCATTCTTAGCTACAGAGAACAGTCCAGTAGTAAATAGACTTAGACTGTAAATATATCTGATTATATGCTGTCTTAAAGGTCCACAGGATGTATACCCAGGAGTGATACAGCTAGGTCATATGGTAGTTCTCTGCACTGACGTCCATCATGGCTCCATGAGTTTATATTCCCATTAGTAGTAAAGGTTCCCTGTACCCTGCACTCTCACCAGCATTTATTTCTCATTATTTTCTTGATAACAGGCATTCTTCTGATGATGGTTAAGATGTTATTTCAGTTATAATGTCCATTTCCCTAATTGCTAAAAATATCAAACACATTTTCAAATGCTGACCATTTGTATTTCTTTTGAGAATCATTAGCCTAATTAGTGAATGCTTAAATTAGCATTTAAAGTTTGCAGTTCTTTATATATTTTGGGTGTTAAATATATAGTCTGTATAGTTGGCAGGTTTTCTTTTTCCTATTGTGCACGCTGCCTATTGATCATGTGTGGATTCTCCTAACTAGTTTTCAGTGTCTTTTCTATTCACATTGTCCTCTGCTCAGAAGTTTTAATCAACTCTTTAGTAATCCTGAGTTGTCCACACATATTTTGCTATAAGAACTATAATTAATTTCCCCTTTCAGTCTCACTGATCACTTGAGACTTTGATTAGCTTTCTAACCATGTTTTTGGATATACCTGAGCATGGTACCAAGATTTGTCATTATTCTCTAAAATGTATCAATTGCTCTAATTATTTGCATTACAGATAGGTATTATAAACAAACTCAAAGTAGTCTAAAGTATAAAGTAATATTCTAACATTTGATACACGTAACTTTAAATATCCATGCATCTTTGATATCCAAGGAGAGGTTCTGCAACCCTTGGGGATACCAAATGGCTGCAGTATTTATTTCTAAGGCCCCTTTGATGGATACTGGAATTGAGCTTTTTATAGCACCACCGAGCACTCACTAAAACACTGGAGACATAATTATTTACATTTATAATTCTTTCATGTGTTACATACACACAGAATATAGATCTCAGACTATACTTGTTATTAATACTTGATTGCTTACTCCACTGCATGCACATCACTTGTCGCCTCTATACAACTATGAATTTGGAAACTGATCATTCTTTTAAAAATTCCATTTATGTTATGCGCTTGGTGTGTGGGTGTGGGCAAGGACATGGCAGGGTACATGTGCATGTAAGTTTTCTCCTTCCACCATATGGGTCACTGAATAACTTGAAAGAGAAATTATATTAATTGAGCTTTTTTTGGCTTATGAGATGGCTCAGCAGGTCAAGGAGCTTGTTGCCATGCCTAACTGAGTTCAACCTCTAGGACCCACATAGTGTAAGACAAGAACAAACTCCTGCAAGTACAATGCATAGGCACTGGAATTAAATGTAAAAGTAAGTTGGGCTCGTTCTTTCTTTCTTTTTTTTTTTAAATGAGCACCTTTCCTAGTTTTTGTTAAACCAACCCGACTTTTCATTAAAAAAAAAAAAAAACAACAAACAAAAACCAAAAAACCGTAGCTGTACCTGCTGCTGTTGTCTTTTGTATTTTTAAATAGTCTTACGAAGTGGGGGAAGGGGAGATGCCATAAAAGTGTCTGCTGCCAAGTCTGATTGATCCCTGGGACACACATGGCAGGAAAGAATCTATTCTCCTCACCAGTCACTCTCTGCCTTCCACACAGGTGGCTGGGCACATGCATATACACAAAGTATAGTCTTACCTGTAATACATATTGTCGCGCTCTGTCCACATCTCCTGGCAAACTGAACCGTCTCATTATCATAGCATTCATTTCTGGGAACTAACCAAAAAGAAGGGAAATCTATTTATTGTTTTGAAGGAATGAAGCATTATACAAAAACATAAAAATGGGGGTTGGAGATAGCTCAATAGTTAAGAACATTTGGTGCTCTTGCAGAGGACCTGTATTGGCTGTCATCCACATCAGGCAGTTCACAATCTTCCTGTAACTCCACTTCTACAACAAGATCTGTCACTCTTCAGGCCTCCAAGGCCCTGCACATATGTGGTGCACATGCAGACAAGCAGGCATACACACACACACACACCAAACAAAAACATAATTGTTCTATCCATAGTCCAGTTTTGAGTACGTTTCAGGAAAACAAAATACTATTTTGAACATCCCTGGGTTCTAATTCAGTAGGCATGGTTTGAGAATGCCTTTTAGTGGATTTCCAAGAGATGTTGATACTGCTGGTCTAAAACAACATTTTTAAAACCACTTGTCTTGAAGGAGGTTAGGAATTAGAGATTGTTGACTGCCACTGAAACCATTTGTTTGGGTGTGGGGCATTGGTGGGGGTTTACATTAAGTGCCTACATCCCATCAATTCCCAACAAAACTGATTATACTGATGTCATGATTACCAGAACTTCCTCGATATTTTAATGCATAGCAAAGTTGAGACTGACTGAATTAGAGGAGGTAGAGGTATCAATCAGCCAGGTCAGAGTAGTGAGTTATAAAAAAAGACAAGTGGGTTTGGGGTTACAGGTCAGCATTGGAGCATTTGCCCAGCATGTTAGAGCTTTGGTTTCAACCCTAACACCACAAGAAACAAAAACTCATGAACTTGGAGACTTCATAGGGGAGGAAAAGTCTTCTTTCTGCTTTTCCAGGTTCATGGTTGGTCCAAGAACTAATTCATTATAGCACAAACAGAGAGATAGGTGAATGCGCTGCAGGGGCTGATGGCTGGAGCTAGATCTCAGACCTCACAAAAGGAGAGACCTGACTCCTGCAAAATCCACTCAGCCACTGGTGTTCCTGCCATTTATGTGTACATGCACAATAGAAATTTTTAAAAAAGCATTAATGAAAATGTCTTCTATCCTCATTTCTTAGCAGCTATTTAGGAGGACTGCTACCATCACTAGGACAAAGCCAGGACAACACACATTACTTCCACACCAAGCTCCATGTATGTCCAGGTTCTGCCAGCAACCACCCCATCTGAATCTGCCTTTTCAGTTTGAAATTTCTAATTTCTAGCAGTCTGCAGTTCCATGGAGTAAGGTGTGTTTGATCACAGACATCATTCTTAGAGCAGTTTCCCTGCACGATGCCTGAAGGATGAAGTAAGTTTTACTGTAATAGTGACCATGGAATCTGCAGATATCGGGCTCAACCCGAATGATAAGGAGTAGATTCTTTCCCTAGAAAAGTATGTATCTGAGAACAAATTTGTGAACATGTGAAAGCAGCTAATGTATACAGAATTGAAGGAACCGGCAACTTCTTAGTTCTTGAGTACTAATTTGTATTAGTTACTGACCTTTTAAGAATAAAATCATATTAAAAAACAAATCAAGATATCAGTCAGATAATTTTGGTGATTAAAAAGTCAAATCTTTAGGCATTTCTTTGTTTTTAAAAACTTACCGTCACCTGGTTATTTGTATGCTATATATCTAGTAAAATTACCCTTTTTTTGATATGAGCTTTTCTTTTTTCTTTTATCACACAGTTATGTGTGATAAAATATATGATTGTGTAGTTTCTCTGGTACTTTTACTGTAAATACCAAGAAAACAAAATTTTAAAGAAAAATAAGTTGCATGACTACATTTTGCCTTTGAAATAACGGCATGTAAATTTTAATATGCAAATATCAAACTTACGGAAGTCTGTCCTTAAACTCCCTACTCCCCAGTTACATGTGAGGAAGAAGTGAGAAACAGGAAGAGATGGTCCTTGCCCCAGATTTAGAGAGAAGAGAGTTTTTTTAAAATTTTGTCTTTTGCTTGCTCATGCTGTATTACAAGTAGGAAAGCAATCTGTAAGTAGATAGGATGCTAACTTAGAAATCTGTTCACAAAACTACAAGGCTGATCAGTGCACTGGGATGAGCTGGCCCCAAACCTGGATAATCTTAAGGTACCAGAGTCACCACAATAGCATAAGTCTGGGCATCTGGTGCAGGGGCTGGGATGGTAGTTGGAAATATGGCTACGGCCTGACATTTATGTCTAGTGACTTATCAAATAACAAGCAGATGAAAGGAGAGGTTTTAAAAAGAACCTTTAAACTAATATAACTCACCAAAAAAGGAAAATACTTCTATTTTGTTTCTGAGTATTTCACAAATGTTTTCATATGTAATTGAAAGATTTAATATGAAGATTTAAAAATAATATATAGAAAACCAGACAATTTTCTCATAATTGTTTTCCAAACTGAAGGCTATCACTATATCTTTCTTTCCAAATTTACATGTTTAAATATCTTTAGGGAAGGGAATTAGCAAGTCTAATCAATGAAAAACGTTGCTAATCAAGTCTTTACCTTTTGGTGCACCACAAACAGCAAAAATAATTCTCAGACATTACTATAAACATACTGCAGAAAATCTACATTCAAACTTTTACAAAAATATGAATTTTTGTGAAAATCCTAAAGCCTGAAATAGTACAGCAAATTCAGGTAGATGTTACCGAGTTAGCATACAAGGAATTCTAAAGAAAAAGGATGGAGACTTGTTTGTTTAGGATAAATGTATTTCTTATTCTTGTCCAGTAGATTTTGTGTATAATTCCATTACAGACATCTGCCTCTGGCTCTGGTTTGCACTTTTGAATAAGCTCTTTGACAATATTTTTGGATTTCTTGTTTGTTTGACAGAATCTCATGTGGCCCAGGATGGCCTTGAACTCACAATGTATTGAATTCCTGGTCTTTCTGCCTCTACCTCCTAAGTGTTGATTGTAGAATCCAGAGGTCTGTGCATGCTAGGCGAAACTACCAACTAAACCCAAGTTTTTGCTCTTGAAGAGAATATAAACACCTATACAAGAATATACTATCACCATTGGGATCTCTCCAGAAATCCTGAAACATTTATTTGTGTGTGTGTCACACACATTTACACTAAAAATCAACCCAGGGCTATGTGCATGCTAGGCAAGTCTCTACTGAGTCATAGCCTCCTGAAACATTTTTTGGGGGGATGTTTCTAGACAGGGTTTCTCTGTGTAGTCTTGGCTGTCCTGGAGCTCCCTCCAAAACACTACAGAGAAACCCTGTTTTGAAGGGGAAAAAATAAAAGGAAAAGACAAATCAGGTTTGGTGGACATGGCTATTACCTTAGTGTTTGGGAGGCTGAGGCAAGAAGACTGCCACCAGTTTGGGGAAGACCTAGGATCTCAGAGCAAGACCTTCAGTGTTATACAGATGGACCTGTTCAAAGACAAATCTGTGGACAAAATACCAGTCCATGGGGAAGGTTTACAAATACCTCATAAGTACTCCAGTAAATGTGCATATTAAGCAGTAATATTAGTGGATATGCTGTGCAGAATAGCTTCAGTGCTAGGATGTAACAGTTTACCTGGTCTGTGGGTAGACCTACTGGGTACTATTATCCACAGTTAGTTGCAGGAGCAATTCAAGTACAGTAAAATGAATGCAAGTCTTAGACTTGGGAAAGATGGCTTTCTGTACCATCTACAGATGTTCCATTTTGGCCAGACAAGAGCATCAGCTTCATTCAAAGAACAAACAGTATCTACCACAAAGTAGAATTGTAAGATCTGGAGCAATGTAAGAAAGAATCCTTTATAACTAAAATCACAGTTTTATTAAAGCAAGATACTGTATAATCCTGCATTATTTTGTGAACTTGATTCACCCAAAGTTATTTTAAGCCCCATGAACTTTGGGTAGATTTCTTGCTAAGAACCTCTTTTTTAACTGTATAGTCAGTCCATAAAAGATCCTAAACTCAGGGTTTTGAGAACAATTTATAAATATATACTGGACTGAGTATAAATATACATTTGATTAACTTTTGGCCCATGTGCCAAAATGTGAAATGAGTCCTGTCCAGAGTCAGTTCCCACTCAGCCTCATCATGTGTTTCCTTTTGGAGGTTGCACTGTGCCTTGTAACTCTTTCCCATTGCCTCATAGGCAGATCGGGGAAAGTGCTGTCTGAACAGAATAACTAGGTGGCTTGTGACTCTGGGATTTCCCAGTAAGCACACATAAAACTATAGTTTGGTAAACTCCTGTTCCTTTTCTTTGCTCTTACTTCAAGAACAATTAACCAACCAACCAAGCAAATATAAAACCTGATCAATTTCCCATCTGCTGTGGATTATAGACAAGACAGTCATAAGAGCTTTGCGTTCAGTTTCTGTTCTCACTTTGTCCCACTATATCTGAATGCATAATTAGCTATTAATCCTCTGTGTAGAGGAAAGTAAACTGTTTGCAATCAAAAGAAGCCAGTCTACCATTTGTTTCATGGAGCTCATGACAAGTATTTGTAATTGTTGAGATTTCTAAAAGCAGAACCAACCAAAATTCTTTATAGACTAGGACTTTAGAAGTGAATTTACCACCGTAACATCTCAGTTTTGAAACCAGGATAAAATCTGTGGTCCCTAATCTAAATGCCTCTAGCTGTACCTAAAGATAATGGTTCCATAGAGCTCCTCAGTAGTATTTTAAAAACAGTAAAACCTACCTGCTGGCAAGCAAACAAGACAGGGCCCGTGGCTAAGCCTAGCTTCAGGTCTGCAGATGTTGGCTTGCCCATCTGGTCAGAACATGAGGTGAAGTCCAATACATCATCTATGAGCTGGCGAAAGGAGAGATGAGTCACACCCACTGTCCTCACTGCTTTGAACTCGTTACACTAAGGAGAATGGAGGCTATGCTTACATGTCACCATTCCCACAAACAGGCAAACCAACCTGAAAAGCTATTCCAATGTTTTTCCCATACTGATAGGCAATCTCATGGACTACTGGGTCAGGGCAACTCAGGACAGAGACCTGAAACAACAAGAAGATTCTGGTAAGCTGTGACATTCAGACCCAAGGTATCCAACCCCAGATGAACTAGCCATTCACATATCCCGTTAGAGAGCCAAGTCTACGTTACAATTGGGATGCCGGCACCTAATGGAGACCAAACATACTAAAAAGTGATGTTTTCTTTTTTTGCAGTTCTGAAAATAGATTCCAGGGCCTCATGCAGGCTAGCAAGTACTCTACCATCTAGCTACAACCCCAGCCCTTTTCTTATATTTAATATTTGTGAGTGTGCATGATGTATGTAGGCGTCCCTTTTCCATCTTTAAATGAATTTCAGGAATTGAATTCAGGTTGGCAGATTTCCTTCCTCCTCCAGTTCTTTCAAACAAGATACACAGTCTTCCGGACAAAGAACCATAAGAATCAATTCTGATAATAAACTAAGCAAATCTTTCTCGTATCCAAAAAAAGGTCCATCCCATTGTGTGAGTGCTGGCTTCAGTGAAATTGCTGGCTTTAATGACCTCTGAGGAGTCCCCCTCATTTCAGGAATGGGATCTCATGCATACAACATTGTCAAGCACCTCTTCATTTGTGGGTCTGTTTTGGAGACACACTTTTTCTCCTGATCCTATCTCCACCTTCAGCAAATCCTACCAGCATGCACTACCACACTTCTCAACATCACTGTTTGTTGCTGTCTGTTAACAGCCTCAGTCTCAGAGTGGACTTAGATATTGCTTCTACATTGTGAGAAGCATCTTCCCTGGATCTACTGTTTCTAACCTTCTCTTATCAGAAGTAACTTAGCTTTATCATGTCTGTTTGTTTGCACCCCCACCCTTCCAAAAAGGAGAGAAGTAGGATTTATAAAGCCCAAAATCTCAAACAGAAGCTGGTTAGTGCTGAGCATGCTAATCCACATTAATCCACGGGAGCTACTTCCCGCTGCACTGTTGAGCATGCTAAGCAGCCCAGCCACATTTTCAGAAATCAAAGACTGGGAAGAACAAGAAGGGAGCTGGGGAGACATTCTGCTCAATTGAAAAGGACAGTCTATGTTGAAGCTCAGTGAGGAAGCCAGATGAAAATAGGTCACTGGTGATAAATAACCACCCTACCTACTTATTTGGTTCTCTATTGGAGACCACATGGGAAGATGGGACAAGCTCTCCAGAAGCCTGCAGGCTTGGAGCTATGCCTCTAGCAACTATCAGTGACCTTGATCTGCTGCCTGATCCTTCTGTGCTTCAGTTTCCTCACCTGTAAAGTGTAAGAACTAAACTCTTACCTCATGAGAATGCAGAATTTGCCATTAATGACTCCTTTAGTGCTGTGGCTATAGCTCAGTAATAAAGCATTTATCTAGCACATTGGTTTGGGCTCCAGCACAACAGGCAGAATAAAAGAAAAGGAAAAAGAAAGAAAATAATCCTCCTGTTTAGCTGAATGTGGACATGCACACTTGTAATCCTGGCATTTAAGAGGTGAGGCAGGAAAGTACAAATCTGAGGATAACCTAGGCTAAACAGTTGAGTCAGAAAACAAAAGAATCCCCCTTTGTCTGTATCCACAGGATGCAGGCAGGATCTGCTAGCCACATCATGGCTCAGTTCTAATTTGTGTTGTTTTCCTTTCTAGCACTCAGCCCTACTTCAGCCCTGGTAATGCTTTCAGGTGACTTAATAAAGTCTACAGCTGTAATGCAGGAGAACAGGATTCAACTGCACACCAAAGAGGCCAGGCACTAGTAAAATCTTAACTGCTTCCAAAAGCAAAGACTTGTAACCCATGGCTTCTGAGGAAGAACTCTCTTCAACTATTCCATGAGACCACGTGGAGGTCAATTTATAAAAGAAGTTGGGTCAGAGTGAGAGAAAGGCAAGGTTCAGGCAGCTGGGTATGCTAAACTCAGAACAAAGTGATTCCCTGCTAAGCAGAAAGAACTAATAATGACACAGTCTCCAGTAGTGAGATTAATGCTGTCTTCTCAACACAAAGCTAATACCCAGAAACAGAAACTTCTTCCAAAAAAGAGTAAATGGAAAGTATCTTTTTAAAGCCAATGAATTAGCATTTGTGGTACATATAACTAGCATTAGGTTTCACAACAGCTCATAAATACTTTCATGGCTAATGATGATAAAATCTAACAAATTCTGGACATTCACCATGCACTCACTATCTTAAGACTTCTTATATACTTATGAGTTTTGAGGAACTGAGGTGTTGGATATTCCAGAAGTTACATAGCTAAGACATGCAGAAATCAGAACCTGAATCCAATGTCTGACTCTAAAAGAGTGTTCTCTTAGTCAGTCAGTAGTGATGTTTCTCACGACACACAACTGAAGCCTTTAATCCCAGCACTCAGGAGGCAGAGGCAGGCCTGGTCTACAGAGCCAGTTCCAGGACAGCTTCCAAAACAATACAGAGAAACCTTGTCTCGAAAAACAAAACAAAAAAAGAAAGAAAGAAAGTTGCCCAAGCCAATAGCAAGCTGAGGTCTGTCTGCACTGTCCCTTTCTGGCTCATCTATACCAACCCAGCAATGAACTCCTTACTGACTTAGAGTCAAAATTTCTGTTCAGCTTGAAGTCCTGGCTCCCTTAACTAGGTTAAGGAACTGAAAGCAACTGTCACAAGTATATAATCAGATACAATGTGGCACAGTGCTTAAATGGCAAGAAGGCAAGCTGTATGACACTACTTGTACTCAGCACCAGAGAGCTGTCTCACGTCTTCCTGGAAGTGGGTGGAATACGAAAAATGATCAAGCCAAAGAAAGAGGAGCTTGACTAACTGTTTTGCCTGAAGCAAATGCCACTTGAGGACCATACTTCACACCACATTCCCACAAACCTCATCTCAGAAAAGACTGAAAAGTACTGTTTGCACTGGAGGGGGCAAAGTCTGACAAGGATCTCTACCTTTGGAATATATACTCACACCACCATAAGATTAGAGATATTTTCTGATGGGTAGATAGTATGTATTATGGTGTTACTTATTTAAAATAGTGTAGAAGCTATGGTGGTATACATCTTTCATCCAGCACTTGGGAGGCAGAGGCAGGAGTAGTTTTATGGATTTATGGCTAGCCTTGTCTAACAGACAGTTCCAAATCACCCAGGACTAAATGAAACCCTGTCTCAAAACAAAACAAACAAAAAGGGTTAGAGGGGTTAGAGAAGATTGCTCAGCAGTTAAGATCACTAGCTACTCTTCTGGAGACCCTGGGTTCAATTCCAGCACCCACATAGTGGTTCGAGAACATCTATAACTCTAGTCTCAGGGTATCTGACCTCATTGGGCACTACACGCACATGGTGCACAGATACACATGCAGGCAAACACCCCACACATAAAAAAGAATACAAAAACTAAAATACTGTAGAGACTTAGAGTTTGTACCATTATAAATGAATATATTAAACAGAGAGAAAATACATGCAACATAGTATCACAAAAATCTGGAGATAATATTGTAAACCAGTAATCTCAGTAATCAAGAGTCTGAAACAGGAAGATCATGGGTTGCAGGCCAGCTTGGAATACAGGGCAAGATTTTGCCTTAAACAAAACAGAAGCCTTCTGCAAATATGAAGTATAAATGTGTAAAAGACATAGACAACTCAAAAAAAAAAAAAGAAAAGAGATATGAAAACAGACCTCAATCATAAATACTCTTGCCCCCAAAACCTGGCAACTGGGGTTTGATCTCCAGAAGCCACATAAAGGTAGAAAGAGAGAACCAACTCCACAAACCTGTTGACCTCCACTCATGTGCTGTGCCGTTCAGGTACTTCCCCAAATAATAATGTAATAAAAAAAATAAACACAAAACAAAAAAGCCCAAGTAGCCCTCAATAATCTGAATAGCATTCAGCCTTACTCAAGAAGTGAGAGACGCAATTAAGGCAAACTGGATTGCCAAAAATAAAAAAATCTAGTGTGAATTTTATATTAGTAAAACCACAGTGAAAGAGGAAGACACTCAAGTTGCTGACAGCAATTCACGTGCCCTTATGCAAGGAGATCCGGTGGTGCTTGACAAACTACACATATATGACCTCTAAATTTATACAAAAAGTAAGCCTCACAACACATACACACAAAGTAGTGGTAGTGTAGCTTATGACTGTATAATAGCAAAAACCTAAATGCCTATATATGAGACTGACTGAGCAAGTGATGCTATAGGCACACAACAGATATTGTACAGCTGTGGTTTTCTGCTTGCTTGTTTTCTTTTGGACAAGGTCTCACTTTGTAGTCCTAGTTGGCCTGGAACTTGCTATGCAGACCAAGTATGTCTCAAACTTAGAGATCTACCTTCCTCTGTTTCCTGCGTGCTGGAGGGAAAAAAGGGTGTGTGCCACCACACCTTGATCTATATAACTGTTTTTAGAGTGATGAAGATTCTATAATTAATATGAAATCACCCAGAATATAGTATAGGTAAGCAAGCAGAACAAACTCTACTTACTAATTTATTACAGGTTACCAAGACTAGGAAATAATATACATGTATCTTATTTATACAAAAATGAAACAGAGGAAGGAAGAACCAAAGAGCACCAAGACCAATGTGTTGGGTGAAACAGATATGAAGATGACAACAGCACACAATAAAGACAGAGAGAAGGGTTTTGCTATTGTTATTGCTGTCTCATTCCTACCAGATTTTCTGGGTACAAATCATGATATTAACTGGTAAGCTACAGAGTGCATTTAGCATGACTATGAATACAAATAGATGGCCAACTATGTTTTGAAAATAACATCAATTCTATTTTAATACCATTCCAGCCCTCAAAGCTGTTTCTCTAGCCAGCCCCCTTTCTAGATTGTAATATTCTTTTGGTTATAAACATAATAGGTAGATAAAAATGAGTGAGGAGGCATAGTAAGGGGGAAAAGGTGTCTTTAGTAGACTGAATAAAATTCTGATAAGCTTCCTTTAAATTCCCACATCATTATGGAGCCCCAAGACTTGTCTAATGATTTTTGTCTCCAAATTCTTATTTTCCCTCTTTGGCATGTCAAATTTTCTTTGCATGAATGTCTTTGCTCATATGTCTACATCTTAAATACCAAGAGCTTATAAAAGTAGTCATTTTAAAAACCCAACACCCCTGGAATATTTCTACCCATGGGCACTTAAATACAGAACTTGTGTTCAGAGTGCTTGCACTATGATTTTGCTGTTATTCTAAAAGACATCTGGGACACTGTGAGCACGCCTCCTTGTGGTCAGAACAGAACACTTCTTTATTTTATTTTTTCTCACTTTCTCCCTTTCTTCCTTAAAAAATTTGTTTTGGGGAAGAAGTAGGAAATACTAGGGATTAAACCTAGGAATTTATGCATGGTGGTAGGCATGTGCTCTACCACCAAGCTTTATCCGCAGTCCTAGACTATTTCATTTCTTCTCTAAACCTGCAAGTCTGAGACATGCTTAGATATACAATGTGTTGTTGTTTTTGAGGCAGAATGTCATGTATAGTTCAGGGTGGGCTAAAACTCACTATGTAGTCCTGGTTGGCCTTGAGCACACAATTTTCCTGTTTCTGCCTCCAAGTGCTATGAGTACAGGCATGCACCACCAAACACGGCTTCTCACAGAATAGTTTATGGAGAGATTGTGTGAACAGTGATGACCCCACATTTTAATATACAGATTAAAGACACTGATTTAAGTATGGGGGTAAAGTTGAGAGGCAGAGAGCACAATACAAAGAGCAGGTGAAGACCACCAGGGAGATTGTGAGAGGAAGTCCTTATTACTCAATTTATACTCTGAAAATTACTGCTTATGTATAGGAGATATAATCGGCTAGGCCTCCTTTTTATTAACAAGTTTATAAAATACTAGTGGAATCTAATAATTAAAACAATTTTCTCCTAGGTAAATATGTGTTATAATTTTTTTTAAAGTAAAATGTCAGAAATAATGTGTGACAACAACTATGACAAAACATTGCTCAGAATGCTACATAATTTTGATGGTGACATGTATTAATTTTTTATCATAAGTATGTTTAATATGTTTCAGAATGGGTATACATGTGCCATGGCATGTGTGTGGAGGTCAGAGTACAGTTCCTGAAATCACTTCTTTCTTCTCCTAGATTCCAGGGAACTCACATGAGGCTTATATGGCAAAGGCTTCCCTGCTGAGTTATCCTGCCAGCCGAGATTGGCAAGTATGATTGATAGTTGAGAGAGAAAAGATGGAAGAAAAGTTCATTATTTCCATACCAAAAGAGGACAGCAAAAATGAAAACCCAGCAGAAGTTGCCTGGGATGCAATCTTTCCCCTGACCTTTTGGGACTTTAGGATGCTATTTTAAGATTCTCTAATTAAATGGTTCTAAGAGAATTAGCCACCAAGAAATAAGTGTGGGCTTTTTCCAACTTGAAAAAAGACAGAACGTACATACTGCTTTACAACTGTTGGCTATCAGACTGGCCGTCTTCTTGAAGGTCTTTTCAAGGTAGTGGGCAAACCTTTCATTCTCATTTTCTTTCGACCCTAGCTGAAGAAATTCACCTATCAAGAAGGAGAAGGTTACTTGAGATATGGTTTTACTGCCTGGCTAAATACCAGGATCGAATAAAACAGAAAAATCAGAATTAACTTACCACGCACCAAATCTTCAATAACTTGGGTTAAAATAGATGTAACAGCTGTGTTTCCAATCCGTGCCAGAACTATGGATGCTGCAGAAAGAATTAAATCTCCGGCAAGAACAGCCTGGAAAAAGGAGAAAAAAAAAAAAAAAACCAATTCAGATAAAAAATTTACAGCTATATCAGTAGTTAAGCACCTGTTTAATATGTATATGTTTGATGCCCAGGATATTGATGTGCCCAGAACAAATTATTAGTTATAGATTATGTAATCAATTACATGGTATAATCAAGTATGCAATCTATACATGCATATTACTTTGCATATTTAAGGATACGCATCAGTTCGATTCCCATTACACAGAAATGCTAGAGTTCCCAGAAATTTTTACTCACCGTATTGTATTTTATTTTTTAAAAAGCTAGCTGTTCTTCAACTTGTTATGTAGCCAAAGTGGACTCCTGAGTGCTAGCATTACAGACATGAATCACCACACCCCATTCATGAGATGTTAGGGGTTAGATTTGGGGCTTTTCTATATGCTAAGCATGTGCTCCAGCAACAGACCTACATCCCTGCCCGAGTTAACAGAATTTTCAAAATAGTCATTTTAGTATTTATCTGTTCTCTAGTATCTAGAATAGTGCTACTTTTATGTACTTACTAGTTACTCATCACTTCATAAAATTCATTCCCGTTAAAGCACAGCCAGCACATGAGACCACTGGCAATCAACAGGAGGGAACCAGGAGCTTTAAGTATGTGAAGTACAATGGAAGGGGGAGTTTTTTTCATGCGCCTTGGTCTGTTCTCCACTAAGCGAGACGGCCAATGGAGGCACATGTGTGGGTGAATGTGTGTCTGATCTCAGAAGACTACATATCCTCCTTTGCACTTGCTCAACTTCATTCTTCAATCCATAATTTATAGATCCTCAACTCAAAGTCCCTATTTTGTGTGCTCCTATTTTATTAGCATCACTAATAAAATAGTGATGCTAATAAAATAGGAAATACTGTTGGACCTAAGAAAGGCTTGGATGTGAGGCCCAGTGTAAGCTCCTGAGCCTGACTTGAGTTTAGAGCTCGGATTTGAGGCCCAGTGTAACCTCCTGAGCCTGGCTACAGTTTGGCCACCTGTCTCTGGCCTGTAACCTCCACATGGGGGTGACTCAGCCAGACCTGATGTAACATTGTCCCCTGCCTAGCTACCTGCCTGCTTGGTGGAATATTATTGGCCCTTACTCTTCAAGTCACCTTACCCTATTGTAAGATTCCCATCCCCTATCTCAGCCCTATATAAGTTCCTACCTGTTAAAATAAATTGAGATCCTGCTTTGACAGACTCCCGACTCAGTATTTTCTCCTCATAACTAATGGGGGGAGGGTCTGAGTCCTTGACACTCACCATCCCACTCAGCTTGGAAAGAGACCAGCTGTACTGGCCCTTCCCCCGCTCTACCTGCCTGGAGGACCAGCAAAATATGTTTAAAAATAAATATATAGGGGCTGGAGAGATGGCTCAGCAGTTAAGAGCACTGGCTAGTCTTTTATAGGGCCAGGGTTCGATTCCCAGCACCCATATGGTGGTTTCTAAATCCTTGTAAATCCACTACCAGAGGATCCAATGCTCTCTTCTAGCTTCCTTGTGCACCAGGTACACAAGTGGTGTGCATATATACATGCAGACAAAACACTCATACCCATAAAATAATTATTATATACATATATATTCAATATATCAAATATACTTATTTCATATATATGTGTATGTGTGTGTGAACCAAACCTTATTAAGACCTCTTTTTTTTTTTCTTTTTTTCTTTTGGTTTTATGAGACAGGGTTTCTCTGTATTGTTTTGGAGGCTGTCGGTCCAGCCTGGCCTCGAACTCACAGAGATCCGCCTGCCTCTGCCTCCCGAGTGCTGGGATTAAAGGCGTGTGCCACCACCGCCCGGCAGGACCTCTTTTTAAAAGGTAAGTTTTGATGGTAGAACACTATCTCTGAGATTTTTCTGTTTTGTAGTTTTTATTTGCTTTGACACTCTGGAACATGCAGCAAATAACATATGCTTATGGATTCAAATGAATGTAGGCAATCCAACAGAAAAATGTAGGATTCCTCAAGAAATACCCATGCAAATGCGTTTCCTTATAACTAGAAGAAATTCTACACGAAACAAATAGTGAAGCCAGGCGATGGTAGTGCATGCCTTTAATCTCAGCACTCGGGAGGCAGAAGCAGGTGAATCTCTGTGAGTTCAAGGCCAGCCTGGTCTACAAAGCTACACAGAGAAACCCTGTCTTGAAAAATAAAAATAAAAAAAAATAAATTTTAAAAGAAGAAAGAAAAAGAAAAACAGTGAGTAAGGAGAAGCGCCAAGTTTTTGTTTTTGCTGTCAAGCAGATACAACACACTTCTTTGAAAATTCAAACAGGTATATTTTACAAATCTGAAAAGCAAATGCAATCCCATAAGCATGTGATTTGATATGAAACACTTTCCAAAACAACAATAAAAACCATCATACCTTTTTTTCACCCCAGATTTTATTAACTGTATGTTTTCCTCTTCGAGAACTTGCATCGTCAATAACGTCATCATGAACCAGACTAGCAGTGTGGATCATTTCTGCAATTAAGGCTATGGAGCGCTGGTTGGCTTGCATATCTCTAATTAACAGAAAGCAATGCTTTTTTAACAGAAGCCTCCTAGAACCTTCTCAGCAATCATCTTGTGAAAACTGGATATCGGATCTAGGATAAAGAATTTTATTTCTCTAAGAGAAACTGTATAAAAATGTTGGCTGTTCTACAGACCCATTTCCGCTATTTGGAGAACATTCTAATAATCTAGAGACCCAGCTATGACATTAGATATTCACTTACAAAAATGGTAAACATCTTAGAAAACTGGCCATTCTGTGGAAGAAAATCATCTTCTGTCCAACAGAAGTGGCCTTGGTCAGATATCCAAGTTTATAATCATCTTACAATTTCAGGGCTGGAACCAGTGAGAGACCCAGGAGCTAAGCGCAACAACCTAAGTTCAATCCACAGAGCCCACAAGGTAAGACACTCTTGCAATGAACCTTCACATGCACATCACAGGATGCATGTGCTCACACACAAACACATACACACAAAATAAAAGTATTTTACAAAAAGTGGTTTGCCTGGTATGAAGGGGTTTTTGCTTTTGTATTTTTATGTATAGTGTTTTGCTTGCATATACCTGTATACCACATGTGTGCCAGCCCAAGGTCAGAAGAGGATGTCAGATCCCCTGAAGCTAGAGTTACTACTGATGGTGTAGGCTGTCATGCTAGTGTTGAGAATTGAACCCAGGTCCTCTATAAGAACAAGAAGTGCTCTGAACTACTAGGTCTCATCTTCTGCTTAATGAAATGTCTTAAGGAACAAAATACAAGGGGTTGGCTGGAGGGACACACACACACACACACACACACACACACACACACACACACACACACACACACACACACACACACGAGAAATAAAATATATCTTAAAGAACCAGATGCCATTATGCACAAAGCAGTGTCAGAGGGAGGCCAGAGGCCAGAGCTTCAGGCCTGGAGTAGTGTCAGTAAGACGTCCGAATCACAGCCTGGAAGCAGCATCAGGGAAGGCCCAAGCTTCAGGCCCAGAGCAGCGTCAAGGGAGCCATGAGCCTCAGAAAGAACAGTAGCATCAGAGGGAGGCCCCAGCCTCAGATCCGGGAGCAGCATCAGAGGTAGGTTTGAGCTTCAGGCCCTGAGCAGTATCAGTGAGAGGCTGGAATCCCAGCCCGGAAGCAGCGTCAGAGGGAGGCCCCAGCCTCACCCTCAGGAGCAAAGACTGATCACTAGGGTGAAGCAACAGCAACACTTTCCAGCAGTAGCTTCCAGAAAATATTGCAAAAAGTTCCTCAGGGAAAGAGCACCTGTGTCCGAGCCAGCATCCACAGCCATTTATCAGTGAGAGATAACCTGCTATTACATCAACTTAGCTCCATTTATACCTCCAACGGGAGGAGCATCCACAGGAGCTGTAGCCCCACCTGTACCTCAAGGAGTGACCCCCTGAGCATTGGGCCCACTTCTACCAGAAGGAGCATTCATTGGAAGCTCTGTTCTACTTCTGCCTGAAGGAGCAGGCAACAGAGCCACAGCCCTCAATTATACCAACTGGAGAAAGAGAGAACCTGAAGCACAAGCTCCGCCTATACTGATTAGAGGAAAGATGCACAGACAACAACACACTCAACAACATAAAGAGCAATAAGGCACCACTAGAAACTAGCTGTGTTACAACAGTAAGACCCGAATATTCCAACACAGATGAAGTAGAAGAAAATGACTTAAAAAATAATTTTCTGAGGCCCTTAAAGAAGAAATGAAAAATTCCCTTAAAGAAATGGAGGAAAAGACAAATAAAAAAATAGGAAGATATCAACAAATCCCTTAGAGAAAACAAAGAAAAAACAATCAGACAAATGAAGGAAATGATTCAAGACATGAAATCTGAAATAGAGGCAATAAAGAAAACACAAACCAAGGGAATCCTGGAAACAGAAAATCTGGGTAAATAATCATGAACCACAAATGCAAACATAAACAACAGAATACAAGAGATGGAAGAATAAATTTCAGGCACTGAAGATAACTTGGAGGAAGTAGATTCATCAGTCAAAGAAAATTTTACATCTAACAAATCCTTAACACAAAACATGTAGGAAATCTGGGACACTATGAAAAGACCAAACCTAAGAATAATAGGGATAGCTGGGTGTTGGTGGCCCACTCCTTTAATCCCAGCACTCGGGAGGCAGAGGTAGGCGGATCTCTGTGAGTTCGAGGCCAGCCTGGTCTATAGAGAGAGAGAGTTCCAGGACAGCCTCCAAAACAATACAGAGAAACCCTGTCTCGAAAAAAAAAAACAAACAAACAAACAAAAAAAACAAACAAACAAAAAAAAGGGGTAGAAGAAGTCCAAACCAAAAGCACAGAAAATATATTCAAAATCATAGAAGAAAACTTTCCCAAACTAAAGAAAGACATGCCTATGAAAATACAAGAAACTTACAGAACACCAAATAGACTGAACTAAAAAAATGGTCCCCTCGCCACACAATAATCAAAATAATACACATACAGAATAAAGAAAGAATATTAAGAGCTGCAAAGGAGAAAGGCCAGGTAACATATAGAGGCAGACCTATCAGAATTATACCTGACTTCTCAATGGAAACAATGAAAGTCAGAAGGTCCTGGTCAGAAGTTATGCAGACACTAAGGGACCACGGATGCCAGCCCAGACTACTTTACCCAGTAAAGCTTTCAATAACCATAGATGGAGAAAATAAGATATTCCACGATAAAAACAAATTTAAAGAATATCTATCCACAGATCCAGTCCCACAGAAAGTACTACAAGGAAAACACCAACCCAAGGAAATCACCTATGTCCACAAGAACACAGGAAATAGATGAGCTTACAGCAGCAGACCCCAAAGAAGGGAACTGAACACACAATGCCATCACCACCAACAAAAACAAAAATAACAGGAACTAGCAATCACTGGTCATTAATATCCATTAATATAAATGGTCTCAATTCACCTACAAAAAGACACAGGCTGATACATTGGATATGAAAACAGAATCCATCCTTCTGCTGTATATAAGAAACACACCTCAAACTTACAGGCAGACATTACCTGAGTAAAGGGTTGGAAAAAAAATTTTCCAATCAAATGGACCTAAGAAACAAGCTGGGGTAGCTATCCTAATATCTAACAAAATAGACTTCAAACTAAAATCAATCAAAAAAGACAAAGAAGGGCATTTCATATTCATCACAGGAAAAATCCATCAAGAGGAACTCTCAATTCTGAACATCTATGCCTCAAACACAAGTTCTCCTGCATTTGTAAAAGAAACATTACTAAAGCTTAAATAACAAATCAAGCCCCAAGCACTAATAGTGGGAGACTTCAACGCCCCACTCTCACCACTGGACAGGTCTGTCAGACAGAAGCTTAACACAGAAATAAGGGAACTAACAGATGTCATGACTCAAATGGTCTTAACAGACATCTATAGAACATTCTACCCATATACTTTCTTTTCAGTACCTCATGAAACCTTCTCAAAAATCAACCACATATTCATTCTACATAACAAAGCAAACCTCCACAGATACAAAAAAAAAAAAAAGGGAATAAACCCATGAACCCTATCAGATCACCATAGCTTAAAGTTAGAATTCAACAGCAACATTAATTTCAGAAAGCCCACAAACACATGGAAATTGAACAATGATCAACTGAACCACCACTGGGTCAAGGAAGTAATAAAAGATTTCCTAAAATTTAATGAAAGTTAACTCACAACACACCCAAACTTATGGGACACAATGAAAGCGGTGCTGAGAGGAAAGTTCGTAGCACTCAGTGCCTACATAAAGAAGCTGGAAAAATCCCACACTAGTGAATTAACAGAACCACTGAAAGTGCTAGAACAAAAAGAAGCAAACTCACCCAGAAGGAATAGATGGCAAGAAATAGTCAAATTGAGGGCTGAAATCAATAAAATAGAAACAAAGAAAATAATACAAAGAATCAATGAGACAAGAGTTGGTTCTTTGAGAAATTCAACAAAATAGACAAACCTTTATCCAAACTATCCAAAAGACAGAGAATATCCAAATTAACAGAATCAGAAACGAAAAGGGGGATATAACAACAGACACTGAGGAAATCCAGAGAATCATCAGGTTATACTTCAAAACCCTGTACTCCACAAAACTGGACAAGTTAATGGAAATGGACAATTTTCTAGATAAGTACCACATACCAAAATTAAATCAAGAACAGATATACTTTTTTCTTTTCGAGACAAGGTTTCTCTGTATTTTTTTTGGAGGCTGTCCTAGAACTTGTTCTGTAGATCAGGCTGGCCTCGAACTTATAGAGATCCTCCTGTCTCGGCCTCCCGAGTGCTGGGATTAAAGGTGTGCACCACCAATGCCCAGCAAGAACAGATAAAATTAAATACATCTATAACCCCTAAGGAAATAGTAAAAGTTATCAACAGTCTCCCCAACCAAAAAACAAACAAACAAACAAACAAACAAACAAACAAAAGCCCAGGCCCAGATGGATTCAGTGCAGAATTCTACCAGATGTTCAAAAAGTATCTAATACCAATACTCCTCAAATTATTCCAATAGAAACAGAAGGAACATTGCCAAACTCTTTTCATGAGACTACAATTACCGTGATACCCAAACCACATAAAGATACAACTAAGAAAGAGAATGACAATTTCCCTCATGAAAAATACTCAGAAAAATCATCCAATATGACCAAGTAGGATTCATCCCAGAGATGCAGGGATGGTTCAATGTAATCCATCACATAAACAGACTGAAAGAAAAAAAACCACATGATCATCTCACTAGATGCTGAAAAAGCCTTCGACAAAATTCAATACCCCTTTACGATAAAGTTCTTAGACAGAATAGGGATATAAGGAACATACCTAAACATAATAATGGCAATATACAGTAACCCAATAGCCAACCACAAACTAAATGGAGAGAAACTCAAAGCAATCCTACTGAAGTCAGGAACAAGACACCTCTGTCTACTTTCCTCATATTTAGTC